AACTGTAAAGGCAGCTCAGAAGCAGGAACAAAGCTGCTTTCGGGAATTTATTACCCAGATGCAGTCAATAAACATTAAAAAAATTTAAAATTCCAAAAAGTGAGAACATAAGAGCAATGCCTTAACAACTCTCTTTGACACTGGCAGGAATTTTATGAGCTAGATTTCCAGATAATCAAAACTTAAAGGGTAAATCCAAACACTTCATTTTCCCCCCAGTACCGGGGGATTGAATCCAGGGCTTTCACACTGAGCTCTATTCCTATCCCTTTTTATTTTAAGACAGGGTCTCACTAAGTTGTCTGGGCTGGGCTTAAACTTCTGATCTTCCTGCATGAGACTACCAGCATCCTAGAATTACAGGCATGTGCCACTATGCTGGGCCTACTTTTAATATTTGTTATGAAAGTTTTCAAAATATCCTATATGGCCTTTTCTTCCTTATTGTTTGTGGTGCTGGGGAATGAACCGAGGATCTCACCCATGAGATAAGCACTCTACCACTGAGCTATATCCCTAGTCCCAGCATTTCACTTTTTTTTTTTTTGGTGCTGGAGATTGAACCCAGGGCCTTATGCATGCTAAGTGCACAGTCAACCACTCAGTTATACTTCTAGCTCCTCAATTTTTGGGGGGGCACCAGGGATCAAACTCAGGACCTTGTGCTTGCGAGGCAGGCAGCGGAACCACTGAGCCAAATCCCTGGCCCCTAGCCCCTCAATTTTTAAAAATAGAAACTAATAGTCATAACTGAAGTTTTTCCTGATGAGTTTATATTATGAACTCCAATTACCAATAAGGGTGCTTTCAAAGACCTCATACTATGAAGCTTTCATTCACAGCAACTGTCTAACTCCTCTGTTATTCTAGTCAATCATCACAGAAACTTTTGAATGTCTGCCCCCTTTCCTATCTCCCACATCCCACTGCCCTTTTGATTTTCTTCCCACTAAAATTCCTTTTCTAAAATAGTTAATAATAGTTAAAATTATAAGATAGTTACATTTATTATAGAACATTTGAAAAATAAAAGGGGAAAATCATCAAAACTGCCAATCTTTTTCTTCTTTTCCCAGCATAGATTAATACAATGCTAAAATAGTGGAACAACAGCTGACCACACAGCAAGTTCTGGCAGGGTCCTATGTTTCAGGCTGTGTAAAATATAGAATGCTTTTTTCTTATTTAGGAATGTTAAATCTATGCTGCATTTTTTTTTCTCAAAATATTTTAAATTAAAAAGATACGAGCTGGGTGTGATGGTGCACGCCTGTAATTCCAAAACTTGGGAGGCTGAGGCAGGAGGATCACCATGAGTTTGAGAGCAGCCTGGGCTACATAGTGAGTTCCAGGTCAGTCTCAACTATGTAGTGAGACCCTGTCTCAAAACAAAACAAAACAAAACAAAACAAAACAAAACATATGAATACATTTTTAAAGAAAAGATAAATTCATTTGAAATACTTAAACTAGGCACTGTAAATAAACTAAAGCTACAAATTAGGAGAAAATATTTGAAAAGCATATAGTCAATATAAGTACCCGATCCTTCCTAAAATGTGTGTATAAAAAGTGTATAAAATGTTTTTTATAAAGTCAGTAATAAAAAAGGCAAACAATCAATTTTTAAAAAACTGGCAAAGAACACAAATAGGTACTCACAAATGAAATACAAGTGGTAAACAAGCATAAGAAAAAAGCTCAAACTTATTAACAATTGGGGAAATATAATTAAAAAAACATGAGGGCTGGAGTGTAGTGCTATGGTTGAGCATATACTCAGCACAAATTCCCAGCCTCAAAAACAATGAAATAATATAAGAAACCATTTCAAGACCATCAGACTGACATGTAAGGAGTCAGACAACACTAATAACTGACAAGGATGTTAAAGAATGGATCTTGCAATACACTCTTGATGTAAAACCACTTTGAAGAGCAATCATTAATACAGTTTAAAGCCCATGTACTGGGCTAGGGATTTAGCTCAGTGGTTCTACCACCTGCCTCGAAAGTGCAAGGTGCTGAGTCTGAAACTATCTTTTGAGAAATTCAATACATGTACTCAAAGATCAATTAATATGACAATCACTCTAGTATTACTTATTGTGAAAAATTGGAAAATACTAAGTATTCTTAAATAGAATAATTTTTATATATTCATGAAAAAAGAAAAAAATGAATGAACTAGGGCTATATGAATCTATATATCTGTAAATTCCAAAAACATGGGAATGTCTTTTTTTTAAACAGGTCATATATATAAATTTCAGAAATGCAGAAACTTTCTCCTACAACTTTTATTTATTGTGTGTGTGTGTGTGTGTGTGTGTGAAAGAGAGGGTCTTGCTATGTAGTTCAGGCTGAACTTGAACTCATCAGGTAGTCCAGGCTGGCACTTGGGAGGCTGAGGCAGGAGGATCACTGTACATTCGAGGCCAGCCTGACTATAGAGTGAATTCAAGGTCAACCTGAACTACATAGTGAGACCTTGTCTGAAAGAAAAAGAAAAGGGGTGGGGGGGCGGAGGAGGAGGAGGAAAGGGAAGAGAAGGCGAAGGAGAAAGAAAAGAGAGAGAGAGAAAGAGAGAAAGCAGGCAGGTAAGCAAACAGGCAGGCAGGCAAGCAAGGTGGCTAAGGGTATAGTTCAGAAGTAAACTGTTTGCCTAGCATGCATGAGTCCCTGGGTTTGATTTTCAGTAAAAATAAGAGAAAAAAAGAAAGATGGTGGTGGGGGCAGGGTGAGAGGAAAAAAAACAAGGAAGAGACAGAGATGGCCTGTGAGGGAGAAAACTTAGGGAAAACAACCTTCAAAATCCTACCATAAGGTATAGTGGTGTGCATACCTGTAATCCCAACTATTTGGAGGGCTGAGGGAGAAGGATCTCAAGTTTGAGGCCAGCCTGCGCAATTTAGCAAGACTCTGCTTCACAATAAAACTGTAAAGAAGAGATGGGGGGCTGGGGATTTAGCTCGGCAGTTCGGTGGCCTGCCTTGCAAGCGCAAGGACCCGAGTTCAATCCTCGGTACCAAAAAAACAAACAAACAAACAAAAAAAAAATACACACACACACACACACACACACACACACACACACAAAAAAAAGAAGAGATGGGGATGCAGCTAATGGTAATGCTCTTGCCTGGCAGGAGAAAGACCCAGGGTTTCATCCCCAACACCATTAGCAAACAACATCAAATACCAAAACAAAAATGGTATACACAGCAAAAAGACAAGTAAAAAAAATCTAATAAAGTTGGGCGGTATATGCTTGAAACATTTCACAACAAAAGAGAAATAAAATATTTGGGCTAAAAAAAAATCCCTACTATTTTCAGCTCTAATTTCAAACATGAGATTCCAAGAATATGACTATATTAGCTGGTGTGGTGGCATACACTAGTAATACAGCATTCTGGGAGGCTGAAGTGGAGCATCACAAGCTCAAGCCAATGTTGGCTGATTTAGAGACTTAGTAAGACCCCATTCAATTAAAAAGGGGCAGGTGTGGAGCTCAGTGCAAAGATCCTTGGTTCAATCCCCAAAAGACAAAACAAAACAATTATACATAGTTCACAAAATGAAAACCCATCACAGTCCATCATTGTATCTGCTAAAACTAAAAAAGTAAAGCCAAAGACATCTGATCTTTGGAACAAGAAAAATGCTTCAGATGTTATATCTTCAGTCACATTATCTAACAGTTTATGACTGTGATGGTACCGGAAGTTACATGACAGTAAATTGGGTAAGATTTGGTTACTCATTTCCAAAATGATTCCAATGTCATACTTGTGCTAAAGTGACAAATACCACCTTGATCCTATTGGCTCAGGACTGTCCCAGTTTGAAAATTTAAAACTGTGTTCCTGACCTCTAGTTTCAAGCAAAATGGGATGGCTGGCCATTCTAACTTCTGGTCATATCAAAATTTTTGAGCTAGCAAAGAATTCTGAGATTAATGAGTAAATTACCTAATTTTATAGCTGGGAAAAGTAAGGAATTCTGTATCTTCAGAGTACTAAGAAAAGCTCCAAGCCATTTAAGCTCTCCAGTTTGTTCACCTTATGGACTAACCCTCTGCAGATCAGACTTGTGGTCTTCCAGTCCTTTATAACTACTTGTGAGGAGAAGCCTTGTGCTTTCCCCCATTCTGACTCCACCTCTACAATTCTCTAGTCATTTTACAGGCTTTCTGTGGAACTGGTGCTCATTCTGCAGTGATTGGCTAACAGGGTTGCAGGCAGATCTGACGTCTCAGTGTGCAATTGGTGAAGACTCTCTGAGTCCCATGCCATATATTATACCCCTTTCCTGATTCCCTCCTTTTAACTAAGAACTTTTACACTTAGCCTTGCATTGTACAATCATTCAGTGAATATTTACTGAGTGAGAGCAGGATCTGTGCTAGATACTGGAAAAAGTAAAAACAATGTACTCAGCCACATAAGAGAGTTAATAACATGATATGTAAAATAATAAACAAGTGGACTACAAGGTGCTTCACCTCTGGAAGTTGAAGAAGGTTTTAACTGAGGAGGTGATATGTGATAGCCAGGGAGGAAATGTATCATCCATGTCTGAAACAGCCCCATGAAGTTCAGGGTGGAGGGCTTCGCTAGCATGGGTTTGATCCCCTAGTACAATAAAACTAACAACAACAACAAGCCAGCCTTGTCGCTCCTATCACCAAAGGGTATAATGCTTTGCTCTCAGTTGAAGTTCAACAAATACATAAATTTGGCAAAGTCAAAAAACCTAGTCCTAGCCAGGCATGGTGATGCACACCTGTAATCCCAGTCCTTGAGAGGCTGTGGCAGGAAGATTAGCATGAGTTTAAGGCCAGTCTGGGCTACATAGTGAGTTCAAGGATAGCCTGAATTACACAGTGGAACCTGTCTCAAAATCCTAACCACCGCCCCCTCCCCACCAACATCTCTTGGAGATGAGGGTAGGTTAACTGAATCTGGCAAGAGAAGTTTCAGAGGCTGACACTATACCTGGCTACGTACAATGTTGCTCAGGTGGCTGTCCTCAGACATCTGTGCATTTTGGAAGTAGGACAAGGGTGCAGGTATCTCTGTCATTGGAGCAACTGTACAGAAATACTTTTCCTCAGAAAACAAAGCTTCTCGGAGGTCTAAAAAAGAAAAAGAAAGCAGAACTTTGTGCATTATGATTACACTCTTTTTTTTTTGTACCGGGGATCGAACTTGAGACCTTGCACTTGAGAGGCAGGCAGCAGAACCACTGAGCTAAATCCCCGGCCCAACACTCTTTAATTTTTAAAAGCTCTCATAAATTACATTCAGCAACAAACCTCTCTTTCATATGCTCTCCTCCAGGCCACGCCAACCTCAGACCTCAAGGGCTGCTGAAGCTTGCAGGCTCCTGGATTAGGTCTGAAATTGAATTTTACTAGGTCATCCATAGTTGGTCAAATACTGGCAAATCCATTCATACCCATCAAATACTTATGTGGCTAACTTGTACACCAGAAATGTTCATTTGCCCTGATCTTCAACTGACAGATTTATTGTCATTGGAATACACCTCTACCTAAAATGTTTGTAGCTTGGATGGAATATAAGGACAGAAAAAAAAGCAGGCTTAAACCAGGTATGGTGGTGAACACCTATAATCCCAGCACTCCAGAGGCTGAGGCAGGAGGATCACTATGAGTTTGAGGCCAACCTGAACTACACAGTGAGCCCATCTCAAAAAAACAAAAGAAAAGAAAAGAAAAAAGAAGGCAGGCTTGTTGCCTCTCTGCTTCCTGCCTGACCTGCCATGGACTGTTTCTCCTCTCCCATGCCACCCTGCCTTGGAGCCAACCAAGTATGGACTGAAACCTCTATAAACTATGAAGTAAAATATATCTTTCCTCTTTTAACTTGTGGATGTCAGGTATTTTGTTTCAACAAGAAAAGTAAGACAACAAGGATAATACATAAGTCATGACGCATAACTCAATACTATTTTCAAAGTTCTTTTCACATCCATCCATTATTCCATTTAATTCTTTTTTTTGTTTTGTTTTGTTTTGTTTTGTTTTGTTTTGTTTTGTTTTTTGAGACAGGGTCTCACTATGTAGTTGTGACTGACCTGGAACTCACTATGTAGCCCAGGCTGGTCTCGAACTCACAGCGATCCTTCTGCCTCAGCCTCCCGAGTGCTGGGATTAAAGGCATGAGCCACCACGTTCGGCTTTAATTCTTTAAAAAATAATAAGAAAAATAATTTATACTAGGATGTTAAAAAGAAACACATTCAGGAAGCTGGTATGCTGGTCCATGCCTATAATCCTAACCCTTGGGTGGGTGAGGCCAGATACCTGAGTTTGAGGCTATTCTGGGCTACATAGGGAGTTCAAGGCCAGCCTGGATTACATAGACCCAGTCTTGAAAACAAATAAAACCACAAAACCCACAACACCTCAGAAAAGGTGAAGGAATTTTTCTGTGCAGGTTCAGGGACAAGTGAATTACACCCCAGTACTCAAGTTGTCTGATGTCAAGCCCAGGGGTTTTCTGGTTACCTAGAGAAATCACAGGCCTTCCCTGATCTTCTGCAGGGTCTCAGTGCTGCAGGAGGTAGACTACCTCAAAGAGTTTCCTTTGGAACACAGCACGAAGCAGAGACAAGCAACAGAGTCAGGTCAGGCTCTGGGAACAAATATCCACTGTTGGCAGAAAGGGACAGGCCAAGCAGAGTTGTTTTTGGTCCAGAAATAGCTGAAAACAATTGATGAGTGCATGCAAAAGGTCAACGACCCTACTGTTTAGGCAGCATGGCAAAAAACACTTGTAGATTTTATAACATTTTCAGCTGAGCCCTGTGAATATGGGAAAAGACAGCTGGGAAGTGTGGATCTTTCCTATAACCTGGATTGCAAAAGAGAGGAGGAGACATAAATAATTTTGGTGCTTTCTTCTCTGGCCACCTGTTGAAGACAACAAAGCAAAGCCCTTCAGTTCACTGCTATCCATGTATCTTTTCACTCAAAACACTTGCTCAATCACACAAAAGAAATCATTCTTGATAAGAAATTCTACTGTATATAAAGAAATCAAAAAAGCCCCAAGAGAACTATGAATAATCTCAAAGCTTAGCCTGCACCACAGAAAAGTCTGTCTGCAAGAAAACTTTCTCTTCAAAAAGTATCTCAGGAGCAATGCGGAATCTCAGAATAAGCTTATTAAAAATCCTATTCAAGGAAGCACAGAAAAGTACATTTTTTTCTTGCTCTTTCCAAGATAACAACTATAGCTTCTATAGAATATGGTTGATTATTGGTATCATTTTCTTTCTTCACTCTCAGATAAGTGTAAACAGACCTGGTACAGTACTCTACAAAAACATTTTTATGACATTTGATCATGAGCTTTTACAAAGGGTTTTCAACTTGCTTTCTCGTCTCTAAGCTACATGCCTAGCTTTTCTTCTGGAAAACTGCTTTAAGGGCTGCGGATTTAGCTTGTGGCTCCATCACCTGCCTTGCAAGCCCAAGGACCAAGTTCAATACTGGGTACCCAAAAAAAAACAAACTGCTGTATGTATTTTCTGCTGCATATGTATTAGGCTGCTAAAAGGTTTTCAGGGGCCAATGTGCTTGTGATTTATTCTTTTCCTTCAAAAGTATTTAATCAGTTTTGGTGTCAGTCTAACAGCTTCTTCCTGACAGGCAGCCCAAGTTCTGAATAAATAGATGGGAAGGAAAGGCTTTTATTTGGGGTTTTCAAGACTAGCATTCAACAGTAAATGTAACCAAACTCTACCTCTAAATGTACTGTAAAATCAATATAAATAAAAATACTAAATTAATTTTTAAAATTAGCCAAGAAACACACACACTTTTTTTTTTTTTTTTGCAAGGAAATACATCCTGGAAAAACTCTTCTGAATTTTTAAGGCATTAGGAGCAAATAATTTCCCCAGTCCTACAAAAAGCTTTTTTTTTTTTGGTATCGGGGATTGAACTCGGGTCCTTGCGCTTGCAAGGCAGGCCACCAAACCACTGAGCTAAATCCCCAGCTACAAAAAGCTTTTGAAAAGGGTAGATGCTAAAAAGAGCAAGGATAGTGATACATCCTATTTGGTGGTTGTTCACCATCCTTCCATCCCACTCCACCTCTGTGAACCATCTGTGGTAGATTAGATTATTCAGCAAATATCCACTTTCTCCGCTAGCCAGCATCCCCAAGGGAGGACTATACAGTCAGCCTTCTATATTCTTCAGTTAGGCATCCTCAGATGCAATCAAGATCAAAAATATTTGGGGGCTGAAAATATTTGGGAGGAAGAAAGAATTGTCTGTACTGAACATGTACAGACATGTTTCCCTTTTATTCCCTAAATGATACAGTATGATTACATAGCATTTGCACTATATTACACATAACCTAAAAATGATTTGATTTTGTTACAAAATTGTTTTATTTTTTTCATAGAAGAGTGTTTTTTATATTTTCTTATTAATATCTACTGGTATTGCATTGAAAATTTTTTTAACTGGGCATACAATCCAAAAGGAAAAAAAAGAATTCCAGAGGTTATGTGTAGGTTACATGTAAACACTACATTTTATGTATACTTGAGCACCCTCACATATTATGGAACCAATGCCCTGAAGATATCAAGAGACCATTGTACTTCTCTCCAGCGATGTTGGGCTTGGCCTTCTGACTTGCTGGGCCTCATACTGGGCCTAAGCCACTTGCCATCCTAACTGGACTTTGGTCAGTGCAGTCTTAACAGATTAGGTATAGGCAGACAATTGAACTATGCTTGTGAAATTGTCTTGCCTTCTTATACTTCTGCTGTTGTTGAGAAGAGTTTACCTTGCATAGCCTCTGCCCCTTTAGCCTGAGCCCCAGAATAAAATAAGCAAATGAGAATGCTCCCTGCTGATCCACATACCTACACCTTGAAGCAGAGCTCCAAACTGCTGAATTTGGGGGAGATGTGCTATGTAGAGTTGTTGTAGCAACTTGTTTTAAAATAATGGTAATGCTGGCTCAGAAGACGCAATGAAGATGAACTGAAGTAACCCCAGAATCCCCTATCTGCAGCTCTTGGAGGACTAAATGTGTTTAGAATTCAGAATTTTTGAATTTTATGAAGGTAATAAGAAACAAATACCATGTTATACGTCCTCAGCATCACAACATGAAACATTAAGGCTACAAGTTGAAATAATGTCTATATTTAAATTCATGTTAGATTTCCATCAAACTACTTATGAAACACTTTACAGTTTAGGGATTTGGGGATTTGAGAATCGTGGATATGAGACAAAGGTCCTGTATTTCAAACTTTTTTCTTTTAGATAGGGTTTTGCTCTATTGCCCAGGCTGGCCCTGAACTCCCGAACTCAAGTGATGCTCCTGCCTCAGCCTCCCAATAGCTTGGATTACAGGCACAGCCACACCTAGCTTAAATTCTCAATTTTAAAGACTTTTGCCAAAAGGTTATTTAATTTTGATAATTTCATAATGATGGTTCAATTACAAGTTATTGTCTCAAATCCTCTGTGGAAATGGATAGAATGACTAATTTATAATGAAAAAGTGATTACTCACATCTAATTAATTTGTAAGCTTCTAGATGTATCCGCATTGCAAGCATTCTTTTGCTCTGGATCAATTTAAACAAAGAACTGTATAACCCATTCTAAAAACCAAACATTAATGCTCTAATCAGCAAACACTCTTTGGGTTTCTTTCACATAACCAGTCATTGTGATAGGTGCTGGGGATACTATGGAATCAGATATGCTTCTGTTTACATGAGGAGTTTACTATACAGAGAGGAAGACAAGTAAAATTTTAGATTGGGTAAATTCTCAGATTGTGTGTTGAAATAAAAATGGTAGATATATTGGGTTAAATATTTAAATTAATATCATCTGTTTATTACCTTTACAAAATATGTTTACCAGGAAAATTTTAATTAAACTAATTTTGGGGTCTGAAGATGCAGCTCAGTGGTAGTGCTTGCCTACAGTGTATGAGGCCCTGGGTTTAATCCCTAGCGCCACAATAAGTAAATAAGTAAATAAATAGTACAAACATTTATGGCTCACAATATATTTGTTCTACAGTGTTTTTCTCAATTCTCAGTTGTTACATCAGGCCTAACGTTCAAAGTATTTCGCAACGTTTTCCTTCCTGAAGCCTCTTTCCTCCCTCTGTTTTTGTGACACTGCACTATTGTGGTTCTCCTCCTACCACACTCATTTCTCCTCAGCTGCCTCTTTCCTAAGTGTTTGTCCATGGCGTCCCCTTTTTCCCCTTAGGCATATCCTCCACTGCTCCAACATCAACTGGTAAGTCTACCTAAGTGACTAATGTTCTTAGTGTCAGTCTTGGCCACAGGACATTTTCACCAACTGACACTTCAAAAGCAATACTTCCAAAGCACTTCTTCTTTACTTCTTCCCTTCTAACTTGTTTCTGAGAATAGTGTCTTCCATTCTCTAAACTTAAATCCTCCTGGTCAACAGTACATTTGATTCTTTGATCCTCATTTGGTTGCTATGTACTGCTTACATTGCTCTATGCCTCTGCCAACACCCCAAACTCTCATTATATTTCACCTGAATTATGCAAAACTCACCTCAATTCTCGTATCTATTCCAGCCTCCGCTACCAGACTGATGTGTCCAAAACCAAACTTTGGCCACAACAGTGCACACATTTGAAAAGGGCAAGAAGAAGAAAAGCAAATACTAAAAACACGGCCACACACCGGCCACGCGTACATCACGACAGCCCCGATCAAGGAAAAGCACTAAGACGCTTTTTCCGCATGGCGAGTGAGACATGAGAGAAATTTCCCGAGTGCCACTCACTACTGGACAAGGACACACTAGGGCACGAGCCGCGGCGTTGCACCAGTTGCTCAAGCAGACCCGACCCAGGTCACTTCCTCTCTCTCCCACTCCACTCAAGATAGTCAGTCCCGCCCCAGCACCTGCGCCTCGAGAAGCCTCCGGGAAGCCAGTATTTCCCGACCATAGCTCCGAAGAGACTCTTTTCAACCTGACGCGGGCCGAATCCTGGGCCCGAGAAACTGGCCGCCCCTCACTTCCCACGCGGGGTTCCTCAGTCTCCAACCGGCCGCGCCCCGCCCCTCATCCTGGGGAACACCGGCTCCGGCCAGAGGCGACAAAGGGCCAGGCCCGGTCTGTGGCTGCCAGTGCCACACAGGAGCAGGAACGCCCTCCTTTCTCCGCAGATTCCCGGTCACTCACCTTCTTTCCCAGCCGGAGCTCGCTCAGAGAAAGTCCCTTCCCCAGCGGCCGCTGTTTTGTTTCCGAGGTAAAATCTCACCCCGCTAAACTACCCGCCCCAGGCCCCGCCCTGGAAGACTCATCTGTGTCGTCATTTCCGGCTCTGGCGCCGTTGGCGGCGAAGCCAGGGCCGGGCGGAGCTTCCGGCTTTTCGCTCCGACCGTGGCGTCGGGGGAATCCCTGCGCTGAAGGCAGTCCCGAGCTCCCTGAAAGTCCGGAGCAACCGGTTCCGTTTGCGGGCGTGGGTCTGGAGCTGTCAGGCCTCTGAGGCCACGGTGGAGCCCAAGACCAAATCCACTGAGCGTTCTCCCGGCTTGCGAGTGATGACACCTTAAATCTAACATCCCTCATTGGGCTGTAGCACCCATTTATGGTTTCTTAAAGTGTGAATCACAAGAATGCTAGTTAAAATTGTAAATGTTCTCTTCCCTACCCCCAAGAATCAAAACTTATGATGGGTGGAGAGAACTATGCCAGCTTCCTGGATTCTTGGGCTCCAAGTTTGGAAATCAGTTTTCCTAAATGGTAAATTTCTGAAAGGCTGAAAATGTATCACTTTCATAATTCCCAAACCTAACAATACTTGGTTCACGGTGGGTTTTTCATTTCTGTATCCGCCAGCTTTAATCCAGCTGTAAAGGCACTACCTACAACTAAATTAAGCAGCTTGTGACACATTCATCAAAACTAATACCATATTACAACCAAGGTTAAAAAAAGTGGAAGTGTTCAAGTTCATGTGTAATCAGAAAAAAACTGGAAAAAAGAAAACCCAATCTCCCCAAATTACATTTTTCTCAACAAAATTTTTTTTACTTTCCCAGGCTATCCCTTTCACATTCCGGAACACCAATCTCAAATCCCTCTCTTCCTGCCCTGCACTACCGCCTGTTTTAGAAAGCTGTATCAACATATTTCAATAGCTTTTATACTCTGTAGCTTCATACTTCAGTAATCTTTTCCTTAAAGTGGAAAAGATAAAACACTGTGTGTGCCAAAACAAAAACCTATCTAAAAAATTCCTGGCTGGGCATGACAGTTGGCACACGCCTGTAATCCCAGCCCTTAGGAGGCTGACACAGGAGGATTACCAGGAGTCTGAGGCCAGCCTAGATTATGTAGCGTTCAAGGCCAGTTTGAAAACTACATCAAGAGACCCTGTCTCAAAAAATAAAACAGGGTCCTGGGACCTGGTTCAGTGGTTTGTCACTGCCTGCCTGGCAAGTGCAAATAAAAAATACCAAAAATAAGTAGATCACAGAAAAACCCAAACCTCATCCCCCCCTTAACTTTTGAGTAAGGTTATTTTTGCTTGCATATATATTACAAGTGCTGAGAACAATGCCTAGCAGATGGAATACATTTGTTCAACAAACATAGGCCAAAACCCATCCCTTTGGGAACTAGTAGAATTTTTTATTGCAGTAACATCTTAAAATGGTGTAAACTGAGCCAAGCATGGTGACACAAGCCCATAATCCTAGGCTTGGGAAGCTGAGGCAGGATTCTGAATTCAAGGCCAGACTGGACTGCAAAGGAAAACCCTTTCTCAAAATACAAAGGCCTATAAACTATTCTTAGAAACAATACAAAAATTTTTGTGGAAAGATATCCCGAGTATTGGCATGGCAAAAATTGGAAAGCTAAATGTCTCATAAATTATAGTTCCCCTAATGTTATTAAAATCGTTCATCCAAGAGAAATTTTTATTCTGTAAAATGTAGACATTGTTGTACTTAATTTCAAACCTTCTTGAAAAAAGGTGTTAAGATTTAAAAAAAAGCAAAGTGGGGCCAGGGATTTAGCTCAGCAGCACAGCACCTGCCTGCCAAGTGAGAGGTCCTGTACCAAATCCAGTACCAAAAATTTCAAAAAAAGCAAAGTGAGTTTGAATAGCAGTACAAACAGCCAAAATGTACTAAGGCAAGAACCAGCAAAAAAAACAAAAACAAAAACAAAAACAAAAAACATTAGGAAAGATGAAAACGGAGTCCAGGTGGCAAGTTAAAAGCCCACAGACCCGTTAAGAGTTCCCAGCAGTAGTCCTGAAATGAACTAGAATGTAGCCTCTTAAAAGGCCAGTCTCATTCAGGCTGTCAATAGCCAGCAGCCATCAGTGGGATGCTGATGTACAAAACAGAACAACGTGAGTAAGAATTGAGACTGGAGGCTACATAAAATGCTTATTCTGGCATCTCAGTGTAGCAGAAAGGAGACAGTATACAATGTTAAATTTTTATGCTGTTCTTTAAAATATGTTCCAAACTGAAGGAAGGAAAAGTATCTGAGTAAGGGTTAAGAAATTATAGAACTTACTATAGAGATGTGCCACACTCTAAATTAAATGGAATCCTTATCATAGCAGTGGTCCAAAGCAGGCTCAGGCCTCCAAAAACTCTGGACAAAGGAAAGGCAGTTTCTAGGTCCCTTTTAAAGGTTCTCCTATTTGGGGAGGGCTTAGAGTGGGAGACTACAAGCTGCCAACTTCATGGGAGCAGAACTTTGCTAAGTCAGTGGAAGTCAGGAGCAGTTTCTCATGGTTTAATTAAAACAAAATGTCACACAGGTCTTCCATTTACAAGGTAGTAACTAGAAAACACAGTGGAAGACTCACAGGATGCAGTGGTTGGTCTGTTATGCATTAACTGAGAGGACACCGAGGGGGAAGGGGAAGGGGAAGGGCCCAGGAATCACGAATACACAAATGGAGTCAGACTGGCTATCAGAACAAGTAGGGTGAAGGAGGTCTTTCCTGTTAGGATGCATGGAGTATCTCTACTTAGGGAGAGGGTTTACAATAGGTTCTGTCATAAACTAGAGAGCTACAAGTGCAGAGAACATGCTTGATAAACTTCCTTAAGTTTTGGGGAAGCTTGAGGGTTATTTACTAGGTAAGGGGAAGGGGGGGGTGACTTAGTCTTCGGTGAGTTATTTTTTCAATACCTACTGCAGTCCTGAGGTAAACAGTAAAAGCTACAGTGTGCATGAAAAAGAATGACCAGATAGCTCTTAAGTCCCAGATTCTCTGCAGTGGTACATTTACATTTTACCCAGAAGTATTCCAAACTTGGGAGCAGGAACAGAGAAAACTAAAATGTTGGCAAAACCCAGCAATGTGGTGAAAAATGAAATAAAAGCTGGGCATGGTGACACACACGTAGTTCCAGCACTCAGTCACAGGAGTTTCCCCAAATTTAAGGCTAGCCTGGGCTACTTAGTGGACCCTGTCTGAAATTTTTAAAAAGTAAAAATTCAGTGTGTTGGAGCTGAAAGAACTTCTAACTGAAGAGCTTGATAAGAGAGAAAAAGCTGTACCTACCACTGCCTAAAGTCAGGACCTAGGACCCAGTCAATCAGAAAACAAAGGCCAGGTCTTTACACCAGTGACTGCAAGATACTGTATTGCATTTACATTTCCAGAGCCATACTGCCAGGAATATACAATTAAGTATTCATTTTCACAGGGTTCAAGGCTTGTCCACCTCCCACCTTTGCTCTGACATTATTTCAACTCACTGCAAGCACTGGTTACCTTAGATTGAGACCTGCTTAATATTGAGAACTGCTTTGTTGTTGTTACCAGGGATTGAACTCAGGACCTTGCACTTGTCAGGCAGGCAGCAGAACCACTGAACCAAATCCCAGCCCGAGAACTGCTTTCTTAATCATCCTGTTTTTCTAGCATTATGTTTTTAATGTTTGTCACTGTTTTCTCTAACTTCTTCTTTACAAAAACATGATCCCCTCATTCAGAAACTTACCTCAATAACACTTTTAAAATTTTCAGTATTGAGGCTGGGGATTTAGGTCAGTGGCAACTCTGCTTGCCTTGTAAGTGCAAAGTCCTGAGTTCGATCCTGATACCAAAAAAAGAGAAAGAAACGAAAAGAAACAATGAATCTAGTTTTCCTCCCATAGGGGCAATCAGGTCTCTTCATCTGGGTTCATTTACCAAAGCAGGAAAATAATGAACCTTCAGAGTTTTTGGACTATACAATATAAAGTGTTCACTAATTTTTCCTTTAGTAGTCACTTAGCTAGCTATATGGCATCTGAGCACATACGATGCAAATGGTGCAACCAAAGAAAGATTGGATATTTTTTAGTCAACATGAGTTTTGAATATGTGAAGTACTGCTGGATTGACTAAAGGAATTGAGCTTAAAATTTTCATTATGAAACTATAATACTTGTCATTAGTGAATACTACTCAAGCAGTTATACAACAAATTAGAATTCCAATTACAGGCTTCTAGATAACCATCTGTAGGGAATTTTGTAGTTATTCCATCAAGGAGGTATTTTCTCAGGTCCCTTCTATATATTACATCCGCTGAAAATATTTGTTGGCCCCTTCTCCTACACCTTGAAGTCAGTGGATCAAAGCCCATAATTCATACAGCACTTTTTACACACAGGTACCAGTGCTTTAGTACTCCTTGTTGTATTTTATTGGCAATCATTAAATAATCACCAACTACAAAAATCATGTACCACCTCTACTTAGCTTATAACACAAAAGGCACATAAGTACTGTAGTGTAAAAATAAATGTTCACTGAATGAAAAGAATATATAAAAATATGTAACTGTAAGAGCAATTTTAATGGGTTTAAATCTATTTAAGACAATGATGAATTTAAGAGCTTCAAAGACTAAATCCAAAATGAGGGTGGGTTGGTTGGCTGGCTGGTTAATCTCTGAATTCCTAGGGCTCCACTTTTGGAATGTCCATAACAATAGAACATAGTAAAATTTCTTCTCTTCAAATTCTTGTTCCTTGAGTTTTTCTAGGTAAGATGAATTTCATGCAAAATTCCAAGTCCCATTTTGTGTACGAAAATCTAAAAGACATCAATCTGACTAATAAATAATGTGGCAGAATACAAACTCTACGGTGTCATTTAACTCAAACAACATGGCTTCAAAAGAATTTTTATTCATTTTTGATTATAGAAATTACCACCTTTTCCTGGGCATTTTAGACTGTCATTCTTAATTTGGCTTCTGTGACTCAAGTAATAAAATGAAATGCAAATCAGTGAACATAAATATTTCAATTTACAATAATCACATTTCCAAAAAAATCAACCAGCTTATCAAAAATTATAAGCTCCATTAGGTCTACATTATGAATGTAATATTTATAGGTCTTGGGTTTCTTATGAATCTTCTTGACACCGAGACTGATGGGTTTTTTCTGTTTTGTTTTCTTTTTCGCTTGTTTGGGACTTCTTTTACTATTCCCCAATTATATTAAAAAATCAATTTCATCATCTGTTGCTGGGCAAAGCTATTTCTCAACTTCATACTGTTAATACAAAGCTGAAATATAACCAAGAAAAACCTGAAACCATTTTAATATTAAAATCTCTCATCAGTTTGGGGGTATTAAGTGGGGACATTCATAGAACTTGTTGGGTAAATATGACTTCAACATTATATAGCTGCTTACATTTATGATTTAAATTTTTCTTTCATATATTTGAAAAAAATGACAGGGTTTAGTATAATTTGGCTCTTGGGCCCACAAATTTTTTCAATTTGTCCAGAGGTAGTACTGATGCTTGATTAATACTTCCAACAGCAGTGTATACTATTAGTTTTACGAGGAAGCACTATGAAAAAATGCTCTAAAGAGAACACTTTCAGGGACTGGTTGGGATAAACCCTAAAATAGAGTTGTTATCAGGCATTAGTCTGAATTTATGTCCATAAGTAGATTCAAGTATGTAATATTTGCTTTATAAGGTTTTCTTTAAAATATACTTAAAAAGAAAAATAAGTTACATTTGTGTTGTCTGTTAGGATAAAATAATGCTGAGTAAAGTGCTAACCAGCTGGCCCCTTCACTGTCAGGGAGCTGGAGAATTAACAAGCCCAGCCACCACGTAATCAGAGTCCAGGTGACTGAAGTACACATTAAAGTTCTAGAAAAACTACTTTTCACTTATATTCCTTCCTTCCGAACAGATGTATCTACCTAGAATAATTTTTAGGGCCAAATGATTAAAAAATGAATTTAATATTCTAACTGCCTGATCGAGGATATTGACTTTCCTAACAACTTCAATGGACAATACGAATTAACACAGGTTTCTAAGTTGAAATTAATGTATACACTTATGGTAAAGAAAGTTCCAGGAATTTAACAGAATATTTTAGGTCTACTTTCCCAGACACTAGAATATGACACTTTATACATGTTTAATTCTTTATATGCAATTGTGAAAGACAAGAAACTGAAAACAATATTTTATATGAAGCACAGTAGTAAAACTTCATTTGAACTAGCATTATGCTATTAATTTAGTGGTTTTTTTAAGAAACCTACCATGACCATTCCTGTTCTCCTAAACAAATGTTGATCTATGAATTTTAGATTCCTGCCATAAACCTCACTGTTCTGCAGTAAAAAAGCTATCTACTCCTATGGACTTTAGGTGACATCTCCAGTTTTTAGAGAGGCACTTTAAGATAAGCACACATGAAAGAACAGGAGAAGATAACAGTAAGATAAATTAAATTTATGTGACTAAACCTTCAAGCTAATACCAAATAAAAACAACCTAAAATCATACCTCAGAAGCAGCAACTATACAGTGTGCTAAGACAAGAGGCCAAACTGCTTGAACAAAAGTCTCAGGTTGAAAGGGGGGGGGGAAATCTAAGGGTAGTAAGCAAAAGTACAAATGTCAAAGGTCATCTTTCTCAAATATTCTCTCAATATCAAAATTCTGAATATTTTAACACTAAATATTTTCATAGATGGACAGTAGATTCACCCAACATAAGATAAATGGCCTCTGACCTCCTGACACCAAGTCATAAAAATCAAGTCCACTAAAACATTCAGCCCATATTTCCAAGCTAAGTGCTCCATTATGCACTAAACAATTACAAAGTGATGCCATTTATTTACAAGACTCTGAAAGAATGAGTCTCCCAAGATCAAATATATACATTTTTAATATGTGAAATATTTACACAATGGAACCATACCATGGTTTGGTGTTAAGTACAGTGTTTTCAAATGTCTTAAGTAAAAAAAAAAATCTAGTTACCTCAATTTCACAATTAGCTTTTCTAACAGACCAAACTTTATGTTCTTTTGAAATAAATAGGGAAATAACTGCATTTAATTTGTGTTAAGAATTGTTTAAAAGTTGTTACATTTGCAGGCAAATTTTGCTTCCTGCTGAAACTCTGGGCCACAACTTTAAAAACTCACAGGTATATCTCTAAACATATCACTAGAATTTAAAAAAAAAAAATCTTTTTTTTGGTACTGGAGATCAAACTAGAATCCTTGCACTTGCAAGGCAGGCAGTGGAACCACTGAGCTTAATTTGTCACAGAATAAACTTTAATGAGAATAGGTAAAAATTAGTGGCTAGCCTGGTCTAACTGCTTTGAATGATTTTATCTCTGGAAATAAGATGTAAACTTTGTAAATTCAACACTGAATTCCTACTGTGTTTTGCCAAACTCTCTTAGCCTTGTCAACTTGCCTAATTTTATCTTTTGTCTTTATTTTTAAATTTTTGGTGTTGGGTAAATAAAACCATGGAGCCTCCAGGATGCAAAGCTTGAGCCCTACCACTAAACTACACTATTAGCCCCATTTGTTTTTAAAGGTTCTTAATTTTCACTTTGCTTTTGGAATGAAGATTTGTTTAAATGAAGGACCAGCTAGTGCAAAAACTAAACTTTCTAAAACACTGCTAAGCAATAAAAATAGGGCACTGTGGAGGATGGATCACCATGATCTACTCTCTATTATAAGGGAAGCTTAAACAGCCAGCTATAAATAAGGAAAACCCTGATTAAAGACTGTTGTTTACTGCAGAATACCAACATGCTCTGGGAAACTAATAACCTACTTATACCAGACATTTGGATTTGCACAATATCAGTTTTCTTTAAGCAAATTAGGAAATACTTTTGGGGGGCAGTGGCGGCGGGAGTGGGGGGGGGACCTAGGGATCAAACTCGGGTCCTTGAGCTTGCCAGGCAGGCAGCAGAATCACCGAGCTAAATCCCTGGCCCTTGGGAATACTTTTATACATGCATTCATACAAACACATTCATACAGATACATACGGTAGGAACAGATTGTCTGCTAATTTTTGCATTCAAATTTTAACTTCTATGCCTTGTGGGGGTTTGTCATTTCTGATCCAAGAGGGGCAGAACTGGTAATAGATATGAATGGTATTCTTCCAACTAAAATCATTCATGTTGTTTCTTATACAGTACAAGTAAATATTAAGTGAAATTCTGCAAAAGAATTGGGGAGTCATTTTAATATTTACAAGGAACAAATCAGCAGAACAAGATTATATCAGATAGGCTGTGTACAGTAGTTGCAGCTTATAAAACATACCAGTAATTTGTACCTGGCGAGTATAAAGAGAACCAAGGATTCAGATGACTTTACAACCAAAGGAGTACATAAGTCATTAACAAATTAGAGGACCAAAAAAAAAAAAAAAAAATTCACATTTTCTACATTAAAAAAAATTACAGGTCTCTCAAATGTCTTTGAAGACAAAGAAAAATTCAAAGTTCTTTAAAGGATGAGAAGTAAGATATCTGAAATGGAATCCTAAGTGTAAAAAGAGTTTTACTTCACAAGACCAATTTTCTTGGCTTCTGTTTCATATATCAATAATCTCCACATTTTTACTATAAAAACTTCTGCTTCTTCATCAAGTACCTATAAGAAAAAAAAAGCAACAAAGTAATCATCAGAATCTTTCAACAACTTAGATAAAAAAAGGTTTTTATTCACCACAAGTACTTACTTTCAATGAAATGACTTAAAGGAAATCTGTTAGTGTGAGAAATGTATTAAACAGTACATATAAATTGACCCTCCAAATTCATTTAGCAAAGTTCACTAGTTTAATAAACATCAACACATTACTGTTTGATCAAATATTTATCTTAACTTTAAAGACATGTCTGACAAAACCACGAAAGAAAGCAAATACTTGTCCTAGAGACCATGGTTAATTTAGGAAGAACTAAATATAACTACATAATACAGAAAATATCACTTATCCCCCCCAAATATGTACTAACATTTTTAGTACATGCTCATTATGACACCCAACTAAAAATTAAATGAGAATATATAGAGAGCATTTAATTCAGTCTCTGTAATACAGAATACTACTTAAATGAACACCATCATCATCACAGAGGACAAAGACTACTGAAAAACACATCTTTTTTTCATCCAAAAATAAAACAAATTATTTTTCTATACACTTAGGAGTTAGATGCCTCAAGTTTCGCCATCTCCTGCCCTAAGTCTACACACACATTTGGATCTTGATGCCACTGTTGTTGTGAGGACAAATGGATAATCTTGCTTTGTTCTGAAAGAGGTAACTGATGGGAGTTTGAGAATATTAGTGTCTGGATAGAAAGTTGCTGAAGTCTTCCTAGAGAGAGTTTAGGAGAGGAATTTTCTTTAGAGAAGTGGATCTGTAGTCAGACTATATAGGATCAAATTCTACTTCTACAACCTACAAGGCATGTGTTCTTGGCTTGGTTATACTTAAACTCAGTTTCTTCTTCTGTGAAATGGAGGACATGTAGCTACATCAGAGCAGTAAGTACTACCATGGGAATCAATGAGTTCACACGTACTAAATGCTCTGAAGAGTGTTTGATACATAATTAATGCTTACAAACAATTAGTGCTCAGCTAAATTCTCAAAGATAATAAATTTTTATTTTTCTGAGAAATTTCATAAAACTTCATAAATTTCATAAATGATGGCAACTTAAAAACTTAACCAGCCAGGCATGGTGGCGCAAGTCTGTAATCCAGCACTCAGGAGGCTGAGGCAGGAGGATCACTGTGAGTCTGAGAACATCCTAAACTATATCAAGACCCTATCTCCCCAGACAGGGGTATGGGGAAAAAATGAGACCCAAGATCTGTCATGTAAAGGTACAAGATCCCAATGATGAATATAACTGTACTGTATACTTAAAAAGTATTAATAAACTCAATGAAAAGGAAGAAGAAAAAAGACCCTATCTCCCCAAACAAAAAAAACTGTTAACCAAACTTCTGAGTCAGATTTGACCTTTTCATGAGAAATACATTCTAACAATAATTCATATGGAACTCATATTTCATAAATATAGTGATATAAAACTAAGCCAAAGTTCATTAATCTATGTTTTTTATTTTTTTGGTACCAGGGATTGAACTCAAGACTTTGCACATCCAAGGCAGGCAGCAGAACCATTGAGCTAAATCTCCCCAGCCCTATTAATTTATGTAAAATGAGTAAAGATATAATTTGAAAGAAAAAAATTATTAGGAATAAAGTACTACTTGAGCTGTAAAGTCCCTAAAGAATATTTATGGGACCCATGAGCTTTGAGCTTTTAAAAGAACTGTTTGGGGCCAGGCGTGGTGGCGCATGCCTGTAATCCCAGCACTCGGGAGGCTGACGCAGGAGGATTGCTGGGAGTTCGAGACCAGCCTGGGCTACATATGAGTCCCAGATCAGTCTCAACTACATAGTGAGACCCTGTCTGAAAAAAACAAAAATTTAAAATAAATAAATAAATAAACTGTTTGCCAACCAAGTTTCAATGGTTTCCTCCCATTCTGATGAACAATGAACCAGAAAATACTCAGAAACAATATTGTCAAAGTAATTATACAAAAAAAAATCAAAATATTTCAACAGGTCAAAATAGACTGAACACATAGGTGCAGAGACCAGCACCACCCTTGGGCCATACTGAGCAGGTCAAGTGGTATCTGAGTCTGCACTGTGTGGGAGGAATAAAGGCCATGGTTATCAGCTCCAGAAGATAAGAGCAGAAGTGAACAACAGAGAGAGGACCTCTATGAGGCTTCTCAATGAAAAATGAAGCCCACTGGGAAAGTGAAGAAAATCTCTGCAATATAAACACACCAGACCACTGTGGTTGGTAAGCTGGTGGGATCGGCACTTCCAAGAGGAACCTGGACTCACTTCAGGGGAAGGGCAGCTGACACCTGCAGTGGGACCTTGTTCAATCCTGCAGGTCAGCCTTGCAGTCAGAAATGAGCCTGAATTTTAAGTGGACTACAGCTGGCTGGCTACAACTAATCAACTCAGATTTGTACACTGCTGCCCACGCTGTCTACCACAATTACCAGAGACATATCCTAAAGGAGGCCCCGGTTTTTTTCCTATTTATATATATATATTTTTTTTTCCTTTTCTTCTCTCTCCTTTCTTATTCTGCATCTCTCCCTCTTTGTTCCTGTTCTATTTCTGTTTTTGATCTTTTCTTCTCTTGATTATCATTATTCTTATAGGAAGGCAAATAGTTTCTAGCTTCCCTATTGCTGTTAATTTGTTCTGTTCTTGTCTTTGTTCCATGTCTTTTCCTTTTGTCTTTAAGTTTCCCAAAATCTGCATGATCTTCCTTTGTCCTCTAGCCTCACTTCTCACCTTTCCTTCTCCATCTCTCTATCCCTCCCACCCCAACTCCTTCTAAGTCCTCATACCGAAAGCTAAATTTGCTATATATTATGTTTTAATTTGCTATATTGAAGAGTTTATTTACTACATATTTTGGGCTGGTCCTCAATTTTGATCTAACTCAAGTGATTACAGGTGACAGATTAAATAGCTACCACAAACTGTCATTTTTTAAAGCTGTTTGATGCTACTGCTGATGCTCACTGTATCACTTGGGATAAGGTGCTGTGATTGATCTAATGAGTTGTCCTCCCTGGTATAATGAAAATGTGATTGCCTAAATCATTAGCGACTCAAAGCCTAAAGACCACCTATAACTGGAAGACACCTCTGAGAAGCAATCATTCCATAAGTGTTCTAAACACAAGCAATAAAGATTTTCACAATAAGCAACACTGAAATATCAGCCCAGGAATTAAGCCAAAACCAGCACCAACAACAAAAATAGAAATGAGAAGACACCTAAGCAAAACCCAGACTTACAGCTCACCACAGGCAAGTTCTGGGGGCAAAGAAGTGGAAAAATCTGATAATCAACCACCTGGACACCCTGAACTGATAGCACAGGAAGTAACAAAACAGGTTACAAAATTCAAAACAGAAATAATTTCCCAGATAACTACAGAGAAAATAAACAAAATGAAAGACATGATTAGAGACTCTAGAATAGAAACAAATTTTTTAAAAAATAGATGAGCTCAGGGCCATGATGGAAGCCATCAATGCCCAGCATAAAAAAGAAATAGAAACCATGAATGCTCAACACGGGGAAGAAATGGAATCCATGAAACAGTTTCAAACAGATATCCAGGAGATTTAAAACTCCACTGAACATATTTGCAGCAGAATGAGCCAATGTGAAGATAGAATATCAGATACAGAAGATAGGATTGTGGTTCCTGACCATGAATACAGTAATGAACACAGACACGTGAAATCTTCACTGTGACTACAACACTACCATAACCCCAAAACTAGAACACTGACCACACACACCTCCTGTATGGGGAACTGCACCAGGGCGCTCTAACCATTGAGTATCTCCCCAGCCCTTTTTGTATTTTGAAATAGGGTCTCATGAAGTTGCCTATGGGTGGCCTAGAATTTATGATCCTCCTGTCTCGACCTTCTAAATAGCTAGAATTGCAGGAGTGTGCCACTGTATCCCTGAAGACCACTGACTTTTTTTTTTTTTTGGGTACTGGAGATCGAACTTGGGTCCTTGTACTTGTGAGGCAGGCTGTGGAACCACTGAGCTAAATTCTCTAAATCCCCGGCCCTGACTTTTTAAAACTTCCTTAGCCTGAGCCTACTTGCAATACTGTTTCTCTATCCCATGAATAACATTTAAAGAGGAATCTCAAGAAGTTCAGAATCCACATCCTCACCCCAAAGACAGAGGCTATTCACATTTCTCCTTTCCTCTGAGTCTAAACACTATGGAAGTCGAGCCAGGTGTGGTGGTGCACACCTGTAATCCCAGCACTCAGGAGGCTGAGACAGGAGGATCATTCTGAGTTCGAGACCAGCCTGGGCTACACAGTGAGTTCCAGGTCACTCTCAACTACATAGTGAGACCCTGTCTCAAAAAACCAAAAAAAGAAAAAAAGAGAGAGATAAACACTATGGAAGCAAAAACTTTTCTACAGGTGTTTTTTATTAGGAACTCTATGTATTATTTTATTAGGAACAACAGTATTGGGCTGGCCAGGCAGAGGAAAACAAATCATTACCTCATGTTAGACATCACAGAGTACATGGACACAAAGCATCTTGACCTCAAAACTACTTTTGGCTAAGAACCCCACTATGGGTCAGGGGTTGTGGCACATGCCTGTAATCCCGGCACTTGAGAGGCTGAGGCAAGAGCCCTGCACAGAGGCCAGCCCAGGCTACACAGTGAATTCAAGACCAGCCTGAACTACACAGCAAGACACTGTCTCAAAAAAAAGAAAGAAAGAAAGAAAGAAAGAAAGAAAGAAAGAAAGAAAGAAAGAAAGAAAGAAAGAAACCCCACTGTGTCTCGCTTTCTGACATCTTTGCTATCAGTCAAAATCCATGCATCCCCAGTTATATATTCTATCATGTTTGATGCTTATTCCTCCCCTTGACATGTCCCATTGCTGTATTCTCACTCTGCCCTTTAGATTACTATTCTATGTCATACTAACCATCCTTAATTTTCAATCATTTTTTTCATATTTTACTTTAATGGAAACCCTTGCCTGTCCCCTAGGGCTCCCAACATTCCTGGAGCTTTCTCACAAAGTTACTTCAGGTGAGTGGTGGCACACTCCTGTAATCCCACCACTTGGGAGGGCCTTTGCACTGAGCCATATCCCTAGTCTTTTTAAAACTTTTTATAGACAGGGTGTTGCCAAGTCATTAAACTACCTAGGTTAGAGGCTCAGTCTTGCAATCCTCCTGATGCAAGCTCCCACAGGCTGGGATTACAGGAATTTAACATTACTCGTGACTCCCAGGTATTTTCACTGGCCATAATTTGTACCCTATCATCATCTGGACTCATTCATCACCTATATCACTTATATTCTTACACTTTTAACATTCTACTTTTTGACCACAGACTCTCCATATCTCCCATATCTCCACTGGAATTCTAGTCCTTAGTTCAGTGAAACCAGAAGTTTTACTTGGACATTATACTATTTTCGATGAGGATCTCTTCCTTTTCTCATAAAATCTCAATATTAAATAAATGCAACCATTGGCTTTAATCCCAAATTAAATGCAACTGCATATTTGATGTTTAAGCACTACCCACACTCACCAAAAATGGTAAAATAGTTAAACAACCTTCATGCCTCAATTTAAATAATACCTGTGACAGTCTCCCTAACTGACCTCAACACCACCAGATGTTCTATCTCTTCTGTAATGCAGCAGAATTTGTTACAGCAAGGACACTAGAGTTCAGTGGTGGTGAACTTACACATATGTTGTTTTTCTTTAAAACGAAAGACGTTAATATACAAATTATTTTTTCTAAACTAAAATCTCAGTTTCATGTTAAATTTTAGTGTTGACACTTTGAGATAAGTAGTTGTGTTTTGGGCACTCATAGCAAAAAGGTTCCTTATCTATATACTGCTTCCCTGCCAGGACAAAGAGCACACCTTTTATGCTTCTAGAACATTGCTTTAATGAGCGAGCACTTAATGAATGTACTAATAAATAAATGCTAACCTAGGATTTAAATATATATTAACAGCAAAGGGAAAGAGAAAGTACAGGTGGTTTTTTAAAAAAACTAATTTTAAAATGATACAAAACAATACCTTGCTGTGGGTGCCTTTGCTCTCTTTCAGTACATATTAAATTTTAATTCAGGCCTATAAAAATTCTAAAACCAACACAGGTAGAAAATAAATTCAAAAACTGGTTTCTTTATACAGATATTAAAATAAGAATAAACTTCTAACTTACCATGGCAACATCATCTAAAATGCTCTGAGGTGAACTATGAGCCATAACCTAAAAAGAAATAATATCATGTTGAAAGCAAACAAAAGGCAGTATATTGACTAAGTTTTAAGATACAAATTCTCAAAGTAATATAGGAATTTCTTGTGACTAAGAAAACTATAACTTTTTATTCTGGGATCTTAATCACTATAGTATTTGTCTTCTAACAGTCAAATTTTACTTATATAATTCTCAAAACCATAACAATTCCAAGTGAAGAAGGCAGCCTACTCTTTTTTTTGTTGTTGCTAAGAGAGGATCTCACTATGTATCCCAGACTGCACTCAAATTTTTGAAGATCTTCCTGCCTCAGCCTCCTAAGTGCTGGGATTACAGGTATGCAACACCAGCCTCAGATAAGTTTACTCTTCCATAATATTAATATTTGGAAGATAATATAGGTACACCTTTACAGGAGTATGCTTCCATTACCGTAACCATCCTATTAAAGAAAATGTTATGGTTTGAGGAGACAATGGAAGCCTATGATATACTTGGAGGTTAAGAGGAAAGACACTGCTGCTTGTAATGCAACCATAGCCAAGACAAAATCTCTCTCTCTCTAAACCTTAGTTTATTCGTGTGTAAAATGGAGATAGTATTAGCGACTTATTCTTGCTAAGGTTGTTCACTTGTTTAAAAATCGAGTTCTACAAAATGTTAACACAGTACCTGCCAAGAACTTAGTAATCAATAAAGGAACACTGACCAGTATTATGATTTGGAAGGAACTATTTTACTATTCCAAAAGATGGGTGACTGTTAGGTGTGGTGGCACATGCCTGAAATCCCAGCACTTGGGAGGCTGAGGCAGTAGAATCGCAGCTGAATTTGAGGCCAGCCTAAACTATATAGCAAGACCTTGTCTGAAAAAAATGAATACCTAAGAAAGAAGTTTGATGAGACAAGCTACTGTCTACCTCCATAAAACCTTGACTGTACTTCAACATTAACCAAGACAAGACAGATGGCGACATGGCACTGTCAGTAATAAAAAAGCAAGCATAATAGGTAGTAGCCAGCAATTCTGTCAAGGGTTCATTAAAGCAGAAATGATCACTTAAATCAAAACTGAACGATCATGGCTTTGGCTCTGCAAGATGTTTGAGAAAGGGCTAATATTTTAAAGTATAATAAAAAAATGCTGGTGGTAGAAGGAATAAAAAACTAACCTTTGAACAAACAAAATCAACTAATGTAGCTTCTTCTTCACCTATGTATTCTATGATTTTCTTATTAATCCATGGTCTAATTCGTCGTTCCATCAGTATCTGCAAAACAAAGTAGTTAATGGATTAAAAAATAAGTCTTATTACTAGTATTAAAGCCTCACAACTTTTTTGTTGTTGTTGTTACCAGGGATCGAACTTGGGACCTTGTACTTTCGAGGTAGGCAATGGAACCACTGAGCTAAATGCCTAGCCTTAAAGCCTCACAACTTTTGAGCTGGGCGTGGTGGCACATGCCTATAATCCCAGCACTTGGGAGGCTGAGGCAGGAGAATCACTGTGAGTTGAGACCAGCCTGGACTACATAGTGAGTTCCAGGTCAGTCTCAACTACATAGTGAGACCCTGTCTCAAAAAACCAAAAAAAAAAGTCTCACAAATTTTCAGACTTAAAATACTATATTCACTCACAAGTTGAAGAAGAGGTATATGTCAAGATGTCATTATTTGTTTCTAATCTAGGAAGGTTTCAGTAAAACAAAGAATTTCTCCAATAATATAAATTCCCTTATTGTGCCATTTCCATGGTATCAAGAGGATTATCATTTTTATTTGTCATTAATGGAATCAAATGTGTTGCATGACACACTAAGAACCACTCCCAACAATCTGATGAAACATCACTACTCACAGAATCCACAATAGACCAATCCAGAGGATAAGCAAAGAGCTCGGGTTTGGCTGTTGGAATCTTCTCAATGAGACTCTTTATATGTTTGCGCTTTTCTTCAGTGTTCACAGTGCCTTTGGCAGCATTTTTATCATCTTCACCATAATCCAATGGAACCAGTTTCCTTTTTCGAGGCACATCATCACTATCTTCATCCTCAAATTTGTTAAATACACTATCTACAGGTAGCTTCTTCCTTTTCACAGAATTAGGCTGACCAGGACTATTAGAAGCACCTATAGTAAAAACACTATTTTAGCATAATGACTTCATATTCAAATGTTTTATCTGACAACCCACCATCCCTCAAAAGCAGTCAAAAATACTTTCACAATGTCAGAGAAAGATCCCAACTGTAAAAAGTAACTCACTACTCACAAGTGCTAGAAAATTTAACTTTTCACTTCTTCTCAGAACTCGAGGCAGCTGCGGATATAGGAGCACTAGTAGGACTATGAAAACAATTGTGAGCTAGAAAGGCATTTTTGAATACTTTTCTATCTACCTAACAAGCAGTACAATTTCTTCCCTTAAAGCAAAATATAGGAATTTGCAAGGAGACGGGAGAGAAACAGGATGGAAATGCTAACATACCCAGTTTAAGACTTAATCCTATTTTTGGCCTATGTTCCTCAGGCTGCTGTTGATCTGGTGAGTTTTCATGAGGAATAATAATACCACAGGGAGACTCATCCCCAGGAGTGTTGGGTGTTGCATTGCCACTGGCAGAGGAAACAGATGGGGCGGAGCTGATGGGCCTCAGAGTGGGTTTCAGACAAGGCTTTTGCTCAGGCTCCTCTTCTTCTTCCATAGGCTCTTCTCGTTTTTCTTCCTTTTCTTGCTTTTCTTCTTCTTCTTCCTCTGATTCTGGCTCTTGCTTTATTTGTGGTTGTCTGCGCCTCTCAGCCTCTTGTTCCATCTAAAACCAAAAGTTAACTGATTAATTTGGAATACACTTACATTTTGGTTTATAGGGTTTTTTTTTTTTAATTAAAGAAATTCTAATGGAAGTTTTGGAAATACATAAAGGGCAAGCCATATTCTCAGAGGATTATCATGCACAATTATTTATTCTCTTTAGGGAAGACTGAAGCTAGTAATGTATACTGATAAACAAGAGAAAAAAGGAAGAAATAGAGAACAGAAGGCAATTATAGAGACAAAGACCTATTATCAGTATGAATACCCAAATCTATAAAACATATGACATGTTATCACAAGGGAGTCATTAAAAATTAAGAGGGCCAGGGATTTAGCTCAGTGGTTCTGCTGCCTGCTTTTCAAGCACAAGGTCCCGAGTTCGATCCCCAGTACCAAAAAAAAAAAAAAAAGACTCGACTGACTAATTGCTTCATTTTTGTTCTTAATGCTGTCTGAACATTAAGTTTACTCATAAGTACTTTATTGATAACAAAAAAAATTCATTTTGAAAATTAAAAGGGATGTGTGAACAGCTGCCTTTAGGCCAAGTGGTTGGGACTTTTCTCAACCTCTAAGAAGGATGAGGTGTGAGAAGATGCCCTGAAGGAGACCATGTCCCAGTTGATATTTACTGGCAAACATGGTATATAGGGTGCCTACGGGATGGCCTTTGTCTGTGGTCACTGTGCTGCTTACTCTCTGCTTCCCAATAAAGTGCACTCTTTCACAATAAATAAGTAAATAAATCAAGCAAGGAATATGTAAAAATACAAGGTTTTTACCTTGCGGAAAAAAAAAATGCTAAAAGTATTTAACAGATTAAAAAAACAGATCAAAAGAGAGTGGGGGAGTTAAGTGCTGGGCCTGGTGGCACATATCTGTAATCCAAGCTACTCGGTAAATTGAGGCAAGAAAATCTCAATTTCAAACCTAGCCTCAGCAACATACACATAATAAGAACCTTTTTTTTTTTTTTAAATTGTAGCTTGAAACTAGATAAAGAAGATATGTTTTTTCTATAAAACGGAATACTACTCAGCCATAAAGAATGAGAAATTAAATTCATTCATAGGAAAATGGATACATACTGAGGATATACCCCTATGCGAAATAAATTAAGTCACATGTGTAAATACTGAATAGTTTCTCTGGTGTGAAAAACTATAATAGCACATAAGATCCTAATGAGATAACTGACCATGTGAAATAGGAAAAAGGGCTAAAGGTGTAGGGAAAGTGGGAAGGGTAGGAGAAAAGTAATAAGGGAAAAGCAAAAAATCTGAGAAAATGAAAAAATGGAAATAAAGTCTTTGTAAACGGGGAGGGGAGGAGGGGGTGAAGGGAGGGCCTAAAATGCTGTGTGCCTAAAATGTACCAATAAACTCAATTAAAAAAAGAAAAAAAATTGTAACTGGCCAGGGATTTAACTCAGTGGTTCCACTGGCTGCCTGGCAAGCACGAGGTCCCAAATTTGATCCCTCTTACCAAAAAACAAAACAAACAAAAAAACCACCAAAACACATGCAAAAATCATCTATAAGAACTAAGAATATTTCTATAATTATACTGTACTCTTGCATGCAAATTTAGGTATACATGACCCTATAACAAGCTGTTAATGAAAACATTTTTAGTAAGAGATGGAACTCAAATCACAAAAATCTCTTAACTGTCAAACTGTAGAAGAAATTTCACCAAAATTTTATGAAGTCACCAAAACAAAAGGAAACGATTAGTAAGATGTTTTACAAATTAAATGACTTATAATTGTTTGATCTTACATTTTAGGATATTTAGAATTGAGCTGTAAATCAACTGCTGATTTCATAATAAAAATAAAAAGTACTAAAAACTTCCAACAGTGCTTGCTTTGGCAGCTCATATACTAAAAACTTTCAATAAAATAGCAAGTTCCATGGAACATAATGTGTATTCCTCATAATTACAAATTAAACATTATCACAGTTGGCTTTAAAATCATGGTGGGTATTGTGGTGTCTCACCCTCTGGAGCTCTGCATCTGGATCTGGGTGCCCTTCTGCCAGAAGGCGTTGCCTGATTTCCTCGAGCTCTTCCTTTTCTCTCTTCCTGTCTCGTTCATCTGCTTCCATTTCCTTTTCCCTATCACGCAACCTTTTCTGAAGAGCACTCCCCCTACAAAAGTAAACAGGCCTCACAACATTATTACCTATTTTACAGATGTCTCCAACAGCACCTTTATTGAATACTAAAAATTGCATGCCAAGAACTGAGACACTTACTGTTCTGTATGTACAGAACACCAATGATAGCTGGCTTTTTGACAGCTGAGTATTGACTTCTCACTTTTCACTATGCTTCATCCTGATAATCCATTGTAAGTATTTATCATTTAGCAGTTTATGCCAAGGATCACTTGGACACCATGTTTATGTACCAACTATCCCTAGCATTGCACTGGCAGGTGTCAATGGAACCAGTTGATTCTTATATTGAATAAGTTTGATAAAAATGTCATTTTTATATTTCCTGTTATTTTGTCTTAAAAAGATTAACAAGAAAAAAATGCAATCTTTAGTCATTCTGTATTTAGACTAAGTGTTTAAAATAAGTGGAAAAAGTAGCTTTCCAAAGGAATAAAGTTCTCATTGTGAATACCAACACATAATTTTGGTTTTCTTATATCCTAAAAAGTGAAAAAATAATACAAGTAGCATTAATTCCACATATAGTTCTGGGACAGGGCTTGATGGCACACACCTCTTATTCACAGTACTCAAGAGGATGAGACAGGAGGATTGTCATGTGTACAAGGACAGCTTGAGCTACATACTGAGAGCTTGTCTCAAGAAAACCAAAGTACAAGAATAGTTCTAGGCCTGGGGGGTATATAGTATGGTAAGCATGTACAAGATCTTTGTTCCAAATATCATTTAAAAACAGGGGCAACCTACTTTTTGGTTCCCCTTCTGTCTCTCATAGACAGAAGCTTTCTTCCACTCAGTAAAGTTTTCCTACTCTTAACCTCTGCTGTTCCTAGAATTCGTACTTCAATTTTAGAGAACACGAATTTGCATTTCAGGTACCTAGAAGTTTTGGAAGTTACATCTCTTCCCCCTATATCATTTTCAAGGTCTTCCACCAAGATAACTGGAGTTCTCAACAGTATTTAATTCAAGGCACTTCTATCTTCTGGGGCTGCTGGATTTCAAGACAAAGCTTCCAGAATGTTTGGAGACCAAAACTAGAAAGATAACTGGGCTATAAAGACAGCCAATATTTTGGTACTGGTCCCTCAAGGTCTACATGCATCCAGGACACAAAGGAACCTTTCCTATAGGATCCTAAAGCTTTGAGGCTGCCAAACTCCAAGTGGTCATACAAATGGAACCAGTGACACATGTGCTAGACTTCTTTTACCAGGATCCATCAGATCAACCTAGTAAACAGCTCATAAGTGCTAAACAATACGACTTCTATGCTGGATTCTGAAGTCCCCTGGACCTTTTCCTTATCCTCTCTGCGGGCTATATTCATAGCAATCCTGCTGACCTTATAATGTGGCCCATGCATTCTTAACTATTTCTTTGACTTTGTCTCCTCCAGACTTAAAAGCTATGCAGCTACCAAGATGACAATGCCAGGCACCTACCGAAGGCCATTAGATAGACCCTCTGTAGAGTAACTCTTAACTGCTGATCACAACTACGACCCTCTTCAGCTGGAAGTAGCCAGAGCTGTTTTTGCCCTTTGGCCCCTCACAGCAGTTAGGGGTACTTCTTCAGTGGGGAGAATACCGCAGATAGGTAAATTAATTAGGTATCTTGTAGGCAGTTAGACAGGGCCACCCTCAAGGAGCCAACACAGCAAGGAACCAAACATGGAGGACAACAAGACACATTCATGAGGGCCAGAATTGTAAAAGGAGAGAAACTACTATACCTTTGTGATTCCCCTGGGGATAAATACCAGTGATTAATATTCCAAATAGGTTTCAACCACCTCGGTGGGGGGACCAAGGTCTTAATATAGCCTTTCCAGGAAACATCCCTGACCCCCCACCCTTACTGAAAATCCCTGCATGCTTGCTATGTGACTTGCTCCCCCATTTGAATCACACGTAACCAATATTACGTGGGTGACTGTACTTGCAATCTTACTGGTTGGTCGTGGTTTTGTCCCACCTCATGCCCACCTTATAAATTTCCACTGGGTCTTACAGTTGTCCCACTTTGTACCCTGCCTCACCACATGGCTTTGCTGTATAAAACATCTTTGAGAAGTGGGGTGGGCAGGCAACACACTTTCCAGTCCCCCTTCTGTCTCTCTTAAGACAGAAGCTTTCGCTCCCTCAATAAATCTTTCCTACTATTAAAACAAGCAAACAAAAATAACAACTCTTATACTCGATTAAAATTAAGCCTTTCCATTACAGAAAAATCTAATGCAGAATGAATAAAGAGCAGGAGTTCTATTTAACAGTTCACTATGTCTCAGAATGTGCAAGTTACCCACTTATATTTTATGAATCTAATTCAGTAATTTTACTGATTTTGTGGTATTTTCTATATTGGGATCAAATCCTTTGCACTCAGCTTAGGTGACTAATTCCAAAATTTCAATTATTTTGACTACAGTGTAATCCATATAACTACATATTTAATGTCCTCATTATGCCTGTAGCATATCAGCCACAGTATAGGTAAGAAAGTGGTATCAAGACATAATCCAAGGGAAATAATGACATTTTCCATGCCCTCAAAGAACATACAAGTTGGGGCCGGGGATTTAGCTCAGCGGTTCGATGGCCTGCCTTGCAAGCACAAAGGCCTCAGTTCGATCCCGGTACCAAAAATGAATGAATGAATGAATGAATGAATAAATAAATAAAATGAACCTGTTTAAAACACATGAAGGAACAAAATAGGACTTTTTGGAATAATGCTATCATAGGTCCCACCTGCAACCACCCACAAATACACACAATTGTTAAATCTTGTCTAACAGCACCACCCTCACTTCAAAAACATTATTGGCTGAAGGGGTGATTACATGACATACCAAGAAGATTTCTAGCATTCTTATTCCACTTAATAAACCTATACACAGGTAGGCAAGGGAAAGTACATCTATGAGTTCATAAAGCAAAGCTCCTTTACCTGTAGTATTTGGGATCATCTCTATCATCATCATAATCTTCTAAGAATTCTTTTAGTCGTTTAGCCTCTTTAGCCTTTACAAAATGAAGGACAATATGTTTAAAATTAACGTAAGAGCTATTCAGGTTATCCCATTCCCCAGAAAAGATCTTTTTCTTATCCATACCACTTAAAACTTTATAGCCTTTGTATATTTCATGTATGAAATGTGTATTATTTAAGACACTTTATCTTTGACCTATACTACAAGTCAGATTTAGGACTTAAATCTGTGAATAAAAACTATACACATCTACATTGCTACAATAAATATTTTCTCTGAACAAAATCTTCATAGTAATAATTCTCCAATGAAACCAGAACATACAAGAAAACCAGTTAACTTACTACATTCATTAACTAAACAAAAATATTTTAAATTGCATTTTGTAGATGGAAGATGCAGCAAGTAGTTAATTCAGTACGATAAAAATTTGAATCATTTCCACATACCAATTCAACAGTAATGCATATCCAACTTAATTTTTTAAAAATTTCCTGGCCGGGGATTTAGCTCAGTGGTTCCGCTGCCTGCCTTGCAAGCGCAAGGATCCGAGTTCGATCCCCGGTACCAAAAAAATAAAATAAAATACAAAAAATTTTTCCCACCCAAAACTACCTACAAAACTTTAAACTGATAAAAACCCTTTTATTTTCAGAATTTCAGGTACAATATGTATTATGCCCAATTATCTTGTATTTATTTTATCCATGTCTATTATATATAACCAGTACTGTATCAACTATCATTGATATAAAAACAGATAATCAATTCTGATTTTCAGTAAACTTTTATCATGTTTCATCTAGTTCAAGTGTTGTTTCTTTAAAAACTTTCCCAATTTGGGCCGGGGATTTAGCTCAGTGGTTTGGTGGCCTGCCTTGCAAGCGCAAAGACCCAAGTTCAATCCCTGGTACCAAAAAAAAAAAAAAACCTCCAATCTAACCATCAATCTACAAACAGCCCCTCCGTACAGGTAACAATAGTATTCCTCCTATTTTTCCAAATTACTTTGTAACTTGTAACACACCTCAAACACACACACACAACCCCCATTACAATAAATGCCTTATTTGATGATACTGCTTCCTTTTTTTTTTTATACGAGGGATCGAACTCAGATCCCTGTAAGGTAAGCAATGGAACCACTGAGCTAAATTCCCGGCCCTGTACTGCTTCCTTCTTACATAATCAGGATTATTAGTTATTCCTGTATGCCCAATATGTAGCAAGGGGCTAATACGACAACTGTCAAACTAATAATGAGAGTCATCTGTCTGTCGGCAACAGCACTGTTATTTATGTATATTTTCCATTTCTTAATCATAAGCGTATAGGAAGGACCATAAGGTACAAAACTACTTGGTTTGCTAGTCTTTTTCTTCCCCTGCATGTGGTGCTAGGGATTGAACCCAGGGGTTTCGCTACAATCTCAGTCCTTTCTTATTTTTATTTTGAGATAGGGTTTTATGAAGTGACTAAACTTCCCAGGCAGGGCTCAAACTTTTAATTCTCTTGCCTCCGCCTTCCAGAGGGCTGGGATCACAGGCATGACCACTACCCTGACAATTTGTTGCTATTAAGCAGATAGAAGGACTTTCACTTTTGCCTTGTGTATCTGTATGCCTTGACATGAGCCAGTGACTGCTCACACAAATGGATATTTTAAAGCTCAAAGACAAAAAAAAAAAAATGTAACAGGCTTTTCTAGGAGCTGGCAGAAATCTTTTCAAGAGTTTATTCCAAAATATTGTTGATGGCATTTCTTCTTACCTTAATATATTATTCTCCTCCTGCTTTCTAAGAATGTACAATAAATTCGAAAATGGGATGTATAGTCTTTCAAGTTAATTTTTAAAAACTAAAATTATTTTAAATAGATCTATGACATTAAAGGATCTAATATATGGGAAACCCATAATATCTATCTTATTGCTTCATGTACACTTCTGGTTACTTAAAAAATTCTGTTTTATATTCAAAAGCTATTTGCAGAAGATTCCTAACTTCAGTGAAATTTTTGGATGAATAATCTCCAAACTGGAGATTAAGAAAACTTCATATTCTGGCAAAGACAGAACAGGTGGAACATACTACTGAAGCAAATGCTATGATAAAATAATGTTTTTATTAGTTTACTTAATATCTGCCAATTGCTTCACTGATACACCTTACCAACACTGTAAATATAAAAGATAAAATTCAATTTGTGATTACCATGCAGTTAAAGCATAATATGGTGACATAAAGAAAAACTAATTTATTATAAATGTTATAACAGAAACAATACTTTCGATTTACAAAAACTTCACCACACCATTTGCTGCCTTCAAATGCACTGTATCAATGCAACAATTTTGCAGGTTCTTTATCAAAGAATGTTCTGTCAATTTTATATATTATTTCATGATAGATTTACTTTGATAATTTTATGGGCAGCAAACATTTGAGAAACAGAAAAAATATGTATACTGAAATTGTCCCAAGATTGCTTAAAATACACAAAAACTTTCTGTAATTGCAATTTCATATTTTAATAAGTTACTTCTAGCTAACAGTAAGATTTGATTTGATTTTCCTGATAAATTTTACTTTTAACCTATAATCTTACCATTTCTCTTCTTCTTTCTTCTTCTCTTTCAGCCTCTTTCTCATATTCCCGAGTTTTTTTTCGTTCTCTGATTTCCCAATTTTTAAGTCGCTAAAAAGAAAATTTCAAACCTTTAAAAATATGTACACAAGTTCTACGCATTTTGATTAACCTATAAATTATAGTAATTTTTAAGAGCAAAGGATAGAAAAGTTAGACCAAGTAAAAAATAGTATTAAACTTGCAGAAATGATTTTAAATAAGTGTTTCTTCTCATTTTACCTCTTGATAAGCAGCTTCTTTCTCTCGGAGTTTTCTTTCAAGTTTTCTTCGTTCATATGCATCTTCTTCATCTTCTTCTCGGTCTCGTTTCTTATCTTTCTCTCTTTCACGCTCCCGTTCCCTCTCGCGTTCTCTCTCACGCTCGCGTTCTCTCTCACGTTCCCTTTCTCGCTCTCTCTCTCTTTCCCGCTCCCGTTCCCTTTCACGGTCTCTGCTCTTTTCTCTACATAAATAAAAGATTTTTTTAATAATCTCTCACTTTATGTTTTCCTTTAAAGACCAAGGTAAAGAAAAACATGCAAAAAAAATGCATTATAAAATATACAAACTTGTAAGCCAAAATGTAATGTTTGATTTCTGCATAACTCTACGCTGATCAGAAAGACAAGACTAGGGGACAACAGTATAGCTTTATACTCCAGTACTTGCTTAGTTAATATTGTCAAGCCCTGGCTTAAATGCTTAGCCCACAAGCACACAAAAGAAGATAAGGCACAGACTTTAATTCCAATGGGAAGGGGAATTAAAGAGATGGTGCAGGGGGATACTATAGTAGAAAGAATGATAGGAGGGGAAAGGAGAGAAGTAAAGGAAGAGAAAAAGGGGTAGAAAGTGTAAAACAAGAGGAGAAAAGAGAAGTAAAAAAGAATTAAGATGCATTATGTACATGTACCAATTCCCCACAATGATCATTATGCTCTATAAACATGCACTAATAAAAATGTTTTTAGGGCCCAGGATTTAGCTGAGTGGTTCCGCCAACCGCCTTGCAAATACAAGGTCTCAAGTTCAAACCCCAATACCAAAAAAAAAAACTTTTTAAAAAAGAAAAAGACTAATTCCATCCCCAAATTGCATTCTAAAGTGAATCACTGATTATTGGCACACAAGAGGTATGTTTTCTATTCTCCTCTGCTTCCTTTTTTGGATTCATTTTTGCTCTGCCTAACTCCTAAAGAATGAGATGATAAATTCCAATTACCAAAAATTTTAAATTGAACAACAAAACAAAGCCCCTCAAAAGTGTAATTATCAGGAGCTAGGAATGTTAAGTAGTAGCCATCTAGTAGGCTACATACCCACATACACTCTCTCTCTCTCTCTCTCTCTCTCTCTCACACACACACACACACACTCCAGGGGCCCAAAGGAGTGGTTCTACAGCTGATAGCCTAATATACAGGCTTCAAAAAAAGGACAACTACAAAACATGTTCACCACCCTGAGAAGGTGACAGAATTACGTCCACCCAGATCACTGAGTAGTAAGTAGACAAACAGTGGGCGCGTTTCAGGTTTCCGTAAAAATTGGCTTGAGAAGACACATCACAATTCAAAGTTGTTACTTTCACCAATAATGTCCACGTATGCTAAAAACCCTGGCGTGACGGATGTCCTAATTAAGGCAATCCTTTCATCAGATTAATGCAAACAGGCCTGGAGAGGGTAACTATTGGTTCTATCAGAAACAGTAAACTGCATAAAGCCTTACCTTGACCGACTCCGATCCTTGTTTCGGTCTGAGCTCCTTTCTCGGTCCCGGTCCCGGTCTCTCTCTCGATCCCGGTCCCGATCTCTCTCCTTTGTCCGGTCACGGTCCCTATCCCGTTCTCGTTCCCGCTCCCGTTCCTTCTCCTTCTCTCGTTCACGTTCTCTTTCCCTTTCTCGTTCCCGTTCTCGCCTTTCTCGTTCCCTTTCACGCTCCCTCTCTCTTTCTCTCCGTTCTTTCTCAATTTCCTGTCTTTCTTTTTCCTTTTTGCCTTTCTCTTCTTCCAGTTTCTAGAAACCAATAAAAGTACTTTTAGAGTTAATTCTGTAGCTCCAGTATTCAGCTTCTTCTTGACACAATACCCAATATTGGAAACAAAATCATTAAACCACTGGTATTTTAATATTAAATACCTGTGGTTTTAAGTGAAAAATTAAACTGAGGCAATTACAAGATTAGATCTTTATGCAAAACCATATGCTCTACGTAGACCAGGAATCTCCAATCTTGGATGTTGAACTATTGTGTCAAGTGTGGCTGGCCACTTAATGACTATACAGGAATTTAAATGACCATAAGGAATGTGGTGGTTCATAATAAGTTCTAGAAATACAATTACTTAGCTAAAACTTCTGCCCATTAGGAATCAGTGGCACTACCAATTACAACCCAGACTTCCCACTATCTAAGGTTAGAAGGGCTTCAAAGGGGAGGAGTAGGAGATGCAAGTCACTGTAATGCAACCAATCTTCTGCACTCTGGTTTGTCCACCCCTCCAAAGAAACAAACTAAATGCAGTCAAGATCCGCCTTTCTCATCTACAAAATTATTTATTCCCACCATTACAAGATGGACAGCCCACCATATACAAAAACTTTGAAAGTTTCATTTCAACCAAAATGTACATAATTTTATTACTTTCACTTAAAATATTTAAAAATATATCAATGCTCATTATGTCTGCAACACAGTAAAAATATATATTTACAATGATAAATCCATCCTTGGAAGGAACGATTGTGTATTAACTTACAGATGTTGTGCTAGGACATGGATCGCCAACACTGGATTAACCTTGCCTACAAGCTATGTTTCTGGGAGGAAGAGCAAGTACATGGTTCACAAATAACCAAATAACAAAGTCAGACCAAGTTTGTACCCTGAAAGATTACCAGTGTATCACAAGGTTCTATGCAAACTCAGAAGGAGGAAAAAATAACCAAACAGATTTAAAAAATAAAAACAAAAACAAAAAACCCAAATTTACCCTTTGGTTCCGTATTTAGTTTCAGCAAAGTGAAATTTATTAATTGCAACAATAAATGTTCATTTTTCTTTTCTCAGTCATGTAAAGCATTTAAAACAACTTTAAAAAGCAGTCTTACCTGTTAGATACTCTTTTTCCCTTGTTCATGGACCAGAGAGAACTGATAGAGGATTATGAAAAAGAAGCTAATGTATGAGACAGCAATATATTCAGCTGCAGTGCCAGCCTAAATCGAAGTAGAATGCAGGCAGAGGCAATACTGAATACATTGAAATTATAAAAGGAAGAGATAAGAAATGGTAGAATGGAGAGAAACTAAAAGCTATGAAAGGGGCAAAATCTCATTTCTGAAACAGTTCTAATGGAATATAAAAATTTATACTGTAAACTGAGGCTATATTACATAGAACTTACCTCAATGTCATACACATAAAGCCATTTTATTTCTGAAATAATAGATACTTACAGATTATTTTAGTTGTTCCAATACTAATTTCTTTTGTACAATTTCTCAACTTTTTATTCTCAAGCTTATTCACTGCACTATTTATTCAATTATGTAAAATAAGTGTTTCGGAACTCATTTCAAAAGTCTAGCTCTAAATAAATGAAGTGAGTGAATCTATATACTGAATGTTTCTAAGTTATATATATGCTATGAGTGTGCACACAGGTAGATATACTATACAGCATATATATGGAACATTTTAAAAGATTGGAAAAAGAAGTGAGTCTAAAATGTAAGATAGCAATGAAGAGGAAAGGAAAGATAAAAAAATTATAAATCTTACCTTATTCTCTCTTCAGACTCATCCGTGCTGTAAATGGACGCCCCCTGCCACGCTGATACCCTGACAGTCTGTGGTTATTTAATAAACTCATACCAAAACATGCAAAGGTTCACTGAGCTCATTTCTTGTTACTGAAGTTTCAAATATCCACCCTTTACCCACACCACCCATTGAAAACTGGATTTTGCTGTTGTTTTTGTTTCTTACTTTTAAAACACATTTTGGAAATTCAAAACATTCCCACAATGAAATAATACTAAGCCAGTGAAAGTGTGAGACATTCATACAATTCTAAAGCTAATATCTTTTGAATTATTTTTTTTAACCACAAGGTTTCTTCATAATTTACCAATAACATTATAAGGTTTAACAAATTAAACAAAGAGGGTAAACCACACACACAACTGTATACCATTTTTAAGCTTACTCAGCCCTAAATTTGAGTACTGAACTTCACCAAAAATATTTCTCTAATATGAATTCCCATAGACCAACATTTTAACACTCAAAATTTGGGGAAGAGTTACATTTGTGCTTTTCAACATGTGTAATTTCTCAGAAGGCACTGAGTATTTGAGCCTTAAGTGTTCAGCACCACTGATTCTTCAGTATTATCAACTTGGGGTTTTGAAACCAATAGGAAAAAAATAAGATTGACTTAAAAAAAAATGAACACTTAACAGTTCACTAAGTTAAAGATCTCTCAGTCTATGACTAAGAACCAGTAACATGTTATTACCTCTAACAACAAAATACATTTCATGCAGTGTTTGCATTTCACCATCCATAAGCATCACCTTCAACACCAGCGAACATTCACAGATGCACCGTCATTGAGAGAAGCTTTAAATAGGCAAAACTCGTGAGTGGGATTTACTACACATCAATACTCATTTCCAAGCCAGTTACCCCTTTGCATATTTTTCTGAGGGGGCATCCATAAATATAATAAAAAACAGAAGCTCATACTTACATCCTATTCCTTGTTACTTTCCAAGCTGACAGTTTCATCTTGCATTAGTCACCATATGATCTCTATCATAATGGTGGGGGGTCAATGAATAGATTAGCTTTATGGGAATTTACAGTTCTTCCATGCATCTAAAATTTGGTAAGTCTGGTAACCACTGAGCTTTTTAAAAATCTCCCCCACTCAACTTAAATCTATACAAATATAAATCTTAAATTTTAATCTCGGCTTTAGAGTTTTTCCTAAGATTAAGTTAAATAACTGTCCCCATAAGTGCACTACACTATATGTATGTTATCCTGCTGCCCCCTTGAATCTACTCTAAATCTGACCTTGATTTTTAAATTGAACTCTAAAAAATTAGATTTTACTCATATTAAAGTGAGATGACAGCAGAGTAGTCAGTAATTGAAAAAACTAAGCATAGAGTGTCAAGGACCACTTTAATATGGTGCTAATCTTCTGGGGGGTTTTTTGTTTGTTTTTACCTAAATATCAATTAAACCTACAAAAGGTACTTAAAATTATATTCTAATGTAAGGTTGATTTTCTTGTCTGTTTGCTCTGGATTCTGTAAAAAGTCTAGATTGGTATTAAGTGAAAAAAACAAGAATACTACCTTGTGTGTGTCTCTGAATTTGCTGATCTCTCGAGATATCAGGTCTCTTTTGTCTTCTTCCATTTCTATAGCATTTATATCCTCCTAAAAGACAAGGGGAACATGAGATAATGAATAAAGATCAATCTACATACCTCAATATAAGAAGTTACAGGTTAAATATTTTGTATAAGTCTTACAAAAGATAAATTAAAACATATATGGTAACAAATCTAACATCCTGAAGTTAAAAAATGAAAAATTAGATGTACAAAAATCACAGATATGACAGGTTAGCATTAAACAAAGATACTGTCAAAGCCTATGTTTAAACGAACCTTAGCGATGAGCGGATAAGGGATCAATGGGGCCACTGGAAATCTGCGGAAAATCTGCGGAAAAATCCAGAAAGGTTTTTAAAAAACAGAGCTCAAACTACTCTGTATTCAATGCCCTCTATATTTATACGGTAAACATCACAGTACTTGGAATATTTTGATTGCACATAACTTGCCATTAAAAGCTATTTCATTCTATGTAAAACTCCTATCACCCACCACCTCTTCTCCCTCTACACCCCCAAACAATGAAATAAGAAGGGTCTCATTGTGGCAAGGCTTTCTCTTCAATCTGTTCTAAGACAGAAGAAACACTGCAACAAAATTTGCCTATAAATCTTGCAAAAGAACAGATTTTTTTAAAAATGTTCTCCTCTCAACTCATAGTAAACAAATGCTTTGTTTTTTTCCTTTTCCATTAATGGGGAAAGAAGAATAAATTATACAGCCTTCAATTACCCTATACATGACTGACCCTACCAATTATGCTTCAATAGAGTGCACTTCAACTAGACAGGCTTTTATAAACACAAGAAGATCAAGCCAAGTAATAAAAATATATTTGGGCACTAAGAAAACGAAGATAGCCCACAAAGGCAATGAAAGTAATCATACCTATAAATATTTTTCAGTATATTTTCATGGCATACAAAATTCATGCCATGTATATTTGTTATATTTTAAAAGAACACTTTTTTTAACTTTTCTAAGTATAGTCAAAAGAAATGAATGCAAGGGAAGCAACCATTTCTTTCAATTTGGATAATGCTATGAATCCTAGCCATTGTTTTCTCAAGAGTTAAAATGCAAAATCAAAGCACAAGAGTGACATCATAAAAATAACTGTAGATATGACTGTGATGTCAGAACACATACGTCCTCCTTCTTTTCCTTTTTCTTCTTCCTGGGATGAGAGTCAGACTCTTGTGAGGGGGCATTTAGCTCACTGGAGTATTCACGTATTAAAACTTCAATGGCCCCCTTAATCATCTGATCTCTTCTTTTTGTCTCTTCATCTAATGCTTCTTCATCATCATTAGTGACAGTTTCCGGCCTGGCATTCTTAAATTCAAGGGGAAAGAAAAAAAATCAATTATAAAGTCCTTTAAAAATAAGAATTAATAAAAATGTATTCTCTCAAAATCATCTCTATAGTCTTACTAAACAGCTCGTTTTACTGATAGTTATACATATAAAATAGACAAATGCATGAATAAACAAAAAACTGGATAGCAATATAAACCAAAATACAAGCAGAAAAGTTAAGAATTGAAATGCTTCTTTTTACCCCTCTGCTTTTATAATGTAGGAAATGCCATTTTACAGAAACCATTCAAACTACGAAAAAAAAATCAACTCTAAATACTACAGAAGTCTTCTTCCCCATGACATGTTCATGGAACACTTAAAAGAAAAAAACCACACATATAATTCATGTCATGCTTGTCACAAATAATTGTTGTGCTCCATGGATGATCATTTAACAGAAAAGATCCGATTAACTTTTTGTCTCTCTGGGGAAAAAAACTGTTATTCAATGCTGCTATTCTTGTTTTTCAATCACAAACCACTTCTTCACCATGCAATAAACTAAAATCCAAGCAGATTAAAGATCTAAATATTAAAAGAGTCACTAAATTTGCTGGAAGATAAGTTACGTAGAACTCTTGAAGACATTGGCATAGAAAAAGACTTTATGAACAAAGCCTCAGTAGCCGGGAACTAGCAGAAAGAACTGGGATCTCATCTTATTAAGAAGCTTCTGTACCACAAAAGAAACCATCAACAGAACTAAGACAACCTACAATATGGGAAAAAATTTTACCAGCTGCTCCTCAAAGGACTATTATCTAGAATATATAAAGAACTCAAAAAAAAAATCAGCCCTCCCAATATAAAGACCCGATTCAAAAATGGGCATCTGAAATGAACAGACATTTCGCAGACAAAGAAGTAAAAGCAGCAACTAAATATATGAAAACATGTTCTACATCACTGGTCATTCGAAAGATGCAAAAGAAAACAACACTGAGATTCCACCTCAACCCACAAAGAATAGCTGCTATCAAGAAATCAATAACAAATGTTGGTGGGGTTGTGGGGAGAAAGGAAGCCTTCTCCATTGTTGGTGGGAGTGCAGACTGGTGCAACCACTATGGAAATCAATATGGAGATACCTCAAAGAACTAGAATTAGAGGTTCCATTTGACCCAGCTATCCCTCTGCTAGGTATCTTTCCAAAAGAATTAAAAGAATCATACCACAGTGATATATGTACACCTATATTTATAGAGGCACAGTTTGTAATAGCTAAAACTTGGAAACAGCCCATTTGCCCATCAGTTGGAGACTGGATAAAGAAAATGTAGTTTTTCTATAAAATGGACTACTACTCAGCCATAAAGAATGAGAAATTAGGGCTGGGGATTTAGCTCAGCGGTTCAGTGGCCTGCCTTGCAAGAGCAAGGACCCAAGTTCAATCCCCAGTACCAAAAAACAAAAAAAGAAAAAAAAGAATGAGAAATTAGAGTCATTCATAGGAAAATGGATACATATTAAGGATATACTAAGTAAAATAAATATGTCACACAAGTGTTAAATACCGAATAGTTTCTCTGGTTTGAAAAACTATAATGGTACATAAGATCCTAATGGTATAATTGACAATGTGAAATAGGAAGAAAAGGGCTAAAGGTGTAGGGGAAAGGTAATAAGGGAAAAGAAAAAAAAACAGGAGAAAATGGAAATAGAGTATTTGTAAATAGGGAAGGGAAGGGGGTTGAAGGGAGGGCAGGAGTAAGGGGAAAAAATGAAAACCAAGACCTGTCATGTAAACGTACAAGATCCCAATGATGAATGTAACTGTACTGTATACCTAAAGTATACCAATAAACTCAATGAGAAAAAAACAAAACAACTTGAGAAAAAAAACAAAACAACTTGATTCTCTGTTTTCTCTTCCATTTCCACGACCATAAAACATAGCAAGCAATACTTGAACGTTAAGTCATATAAAAAGTTTACAAAAAGCAAATGTTTACCTTGGGATGTCAATGTGGTTCCTATTTGGTTCTCTTCAGAGGAATGAAAAGCCGCAATACTAAAGCTACTAGCTCTACTAGCTACAAAGTTATCAGATAGCTCTTGTAGGATCAGTCTTTGACACTGACTTCTAGAATTCAAAAGAACCACTTTGGAAACATAAGCAGAGCTCTTTTGGGTTTTTTTTGGTTTTTTTTGGGGGGGTACTGGGGAATCGAGGGTCCTTGTGCTAACAAGGCAGGTGGCGGAACCACTGAGCTAAATCCCCAGCCCAGCAGAGTTGTTTTGAGAAAATGTTGACTCAACTAATTTCTAGGCAAAGATGTGAAGATATAAACAAATGTAAAGTGTAATTCTGGGTAATGGTGATTACATATAGCCACAGAAGTGATTTACTTCATTTTCAGAATTTAAAGCACACCACTTGCAAATACTACAGATTAAAGCAACTTAGAAAGCAATGGTTAAACTCAATGACAGCAAGTCCTAGGGAATTAAGACAAAATTCAATGCTCTGATTCCATGCTTTCTTTTTGAGACAGTCTCCCTCTGTTGCTCATGCTGTGCTCAAATTAGTTAACCTCAATCCTCAGTCCTGGAGTAGATGAGATTTTATATGCTTTCTTTTAAAATTTAAATTGAATTATCAGCCTAAGGAAAATGTGAAGGTTATACTGCAGTTGTTTTAAATTTTAGTAATATGACAGACAACATTGATGATAAATGTAATTTATCCTCCAGAGAAACAGTACTGTATCATTTGGACATAAAGATGGATAATGACAGTAAAAATAACAAGCAAGATAACTGTAACTGTTATTAAATAAATGTTCATTCCATTCTGACTATACATAAGACACTGTCTTAGGTGCTGTGAAGGTACAATCCAGCTCATTGCCCTTTCTATCTGTAATGAGCGACGCAGAGGGGAGAAACATGGGAAGGAAACTCAGTACAAGAGACTATGAGAGACAGTCAGATACAAACAATATATTCTACAAAGCAGACTGACATATAAGATTCTGCTTTACAAAGAAAGATATAATTCTGCCTGAAAGTAGGATAAAGTGCTATACAAAAGAAGGAACATGTTAATTATAATTAGAATGGGTAGAATTTCAATAGAGAACTTGGATGCACAACAAAGACCTGGAATATAAGCAAAATACAAAGTGAGGGAAAGTAGTGGGCTGCTACATGAAGGGAGAAGGGAGGAAGAAGCCATGACTAGAAAAACAAATCAAAATGCTAACAGTGGTTATTTGTGATGACAGGTATGGGTGTTAGTTTTTTTAATACTATAATTTCATTTTTTGAGATTTTTTAAGAAGAACATACAATATGTGTATGAAGGAGGGGACAAAAAAGCTATTTCAGTGTGAAAAATTAAAGAAAGCTTGATGAATTCAAAAGGCTATTTTGGTCTGTTTTTTTTTAGGAGAGGAACACCATAAATTTTTGGATCTGTTCAGCTTAAGGTGCCTAAAAGAAACTAGAAAAGGAAAATGAGACATTATGTACTCAGATTTAAACTATGTTTTGCTTTGGTAACAATGTATACCTTATAACAGAGCACATAAAAATTTTCTTTATCCTTTATCTTCACTTAAGATAGTCTGAATAAAGCCACCCAGCTAAGTAAAGTAATAATAATTATTTCCATTCATTTTGGAATCTGTGTACTTCTAAATAAAAGGGAAACTAATAAAAATTGTGTAGGTTGAAATACATTTTGTACTTATTTAAAAAGCTGTCTTAATGAATTAGGTCTGTTTGGAATAGTCCATACCAGTGTTTTCTCTGGCAAGTTAACCATCCAGGCTCCCTTACTACCTACATCCCAATCTCAAACAAGTAAACCAACAGTTATCCACTGACTGTGGGTAGGTAAGATTTATTTAACTACAAACCATAAAATACCGTCCTATATTTAAGCCACAGCACATTTTATGGTGATGATAATCTTGTGAAACTTCATATTAGATTCATTAATAATAGAAAGTATTTACATTGAAATAGTACAGCTGAATCAGAAAACATACCCCATTAGAAGCTTTCTTCTTTGCTTTCCATTCATCCAATTGTGCCTTTGTTTTGGCATCAACTTTAACAAGCAACTTCTTCTCTCCTATCTGCAGGTCATGTAATAATCTGAGTGCACGGAGGGTAGATTCAGGCTCCTTATACTCACAGAATCCAAAGGCTATTAACAGATGCAAAGAATTAGTGAGTATCAATGCAATTATGTAAGATTTTTTAAAGTGTGAAGAACCAAAAAGAGATACTTGACAGGAAAGATTAAGTATCTTTCAGCCTTTAAGTTAAGTATGCATTAGTAAACCTAAAAACAAAAGACTAATAAGCCAATTACAATGAGTACATCAAATGTCTATATAGTGATTTTGAAAATAATTTCCCACTACAAGAAACCAGAGTTCCTAAAAGAAATGACTGATTCCAAGACTGGAGCAAAAAAACCAGATGATCTTGAAACATCTATAGCAGATAATAAAAAGGCAGGAACAGTATCAAAACCACTGGATAGGCAATTTGCAGAGGCAATGTAAATCAACCTAAGCTTTAAAGTAATGACAACTATAGTGAACCCATACTAAATACAAGAACAATGAATATTCTTCAGTTCTAAATTAAAAGAGCAGAAAAGGCAAAACAAAAAAAAAATCAATCACTGCTAGAGAAGGCTGAGGACACCAGACCATTTTTCCCAGAAATAGAGCCGTTTATCCTATCTTTTTCTATATCAATTAGGAAAAAGATAAATAGTAGACAGTAGGGAGAACTTCTTCGTATACAAGCACTATACTGATAAATGAAGACTTTTTTTTTTTTTTGAGACAGGGTCTCACTATGTAGTTGAGGCTGAGGCAGGAGGATCACTGTGAGTTCGAGACCAGTCTGGGCTATATAGTGAGTTCTAGGTCAGTCTCAACTACATAGTGAGACCCTGTCTCAAAAAACCAAAAAAAAAAAGAGAGAGAGAACCTGAAACAACATTTAAAAACTTTACATTTTGGGGCTAGGGATTTAGCTCAGTGGTGCCACCACCTGCCTTGCAAACAGAAGAAGTTTAATCCCAGGTATCAAAAAAACCCACAAAAAACCTTTACATTTGAAGCTAGACACAGTATTGTAAGCCTGTGATCCCAGCTACTCAGTAGGCTTATGCACATTCCAGACAAGCTTACGTAACTTGGCAAGATGCTATCTTAAAAAGGAAGAAGAGCCAATGATGTAACCCATTAGAGCACTTGCCTACCATGCATGAAAACCTTGGTTCAGCTGCCAGTATCACTTGTCCTTCCACCCCACATTTGAAGCAAGTTAGTATTTGCACAGTGATTGGTATTTAATAATACTAAGTAAAATAGTTAATTCTTTTCAGGTCTTATTTATTTAAGTTTTTTGAGACAGGGTCTTGCTAGGTAGTTAAGGCTAGCCTTGAACTCACTATGTAGTCCAGGTTGGCCTTGAAATCTCGGTAATCTTTCTGCCTCAGCCTCCCAAGTGCTGGGATTACAGGCGTGCACCACCATCCCTGGCTTCTTTTTAGGTTTTATAGTAATATTTTATCCAACAGGTATTTCTGCAAGTAACTATGAAAAATACAGTTTCTTTTTAAGAGAAAAGACCACCTACCACCTGGGCCAAGGATTTTGCTGAGTGGTTCCACCACCTGCCTGGCAAACACAGGGACCAGAGTTCAATCCCCGGTACCAAAAAAAAAAAAAAAAGTAAAAAAGGCCACCTGATCATCATCTCCCCCCCATTCCTCCCTAAATTCTAATAGTGCCAACATTTTTGGTGGTGGTGGTGCTAGATATTGACATCCCCAAGGCAGTGCACATGCTAAACATTAACTCTATCACTGAGCTACAACCCTAGCCCTGTTTCATCTTCATTACACAGAACTTATTCCAGATAAAAAGGGTTATTTTAAAGTATAACAAACCCGTCAGTCTGAATTTTTTAAAATTTTTTCTCTTCTACTTCCTTCCTATTCTACTTTTCCAATTGCTGATCTCAAAATTCAGCTAACATCTTCTTAATTGCCTTTTAATCCCATTCTACCAAGGACAATGGAAGTAAAACGTAAAACAGTAATTATACAGGTAAAAGTGATCTAAACAAGAAAAAGATATCTTACCTTGAAGTTTTCCAGAAGCACCTTGTACTCTCTTCCAGCTCAAAACCAAACCACATTTCTTAAAAAGAAAAAAACAAAACAAAACATAATTTTGATGCAAGTAAGAGCACAATCATAAGGGGGGAAAAAGCATGGAAGTAAAAATTAAGAGCATACCAGCAACCAAGGTTGTTACAATTATCTCAGTTCCCACAACTTTATTACATGAAATATAGAAATTATTTTAATGTTAAGTTCTGAATCTTAAGAAAATTCTGTTTTAATAATAAATTAGAAATTTTGCAACGTAACTTACCCTACCAAATTAGATAGAAACCAACTGTTCCTCAAGTGCTCAAATGTGCCTAGAATGATTAAATCCAAATAAACTGAGTCCATCAATACTATTTTAAAACTATACATCATATATACTGGCACATTTGAAAAATGCTTGATCTTATGTACAAAAATATCATGACAAGAAATTGATAATACACAGAGATTTTAACTATAAAAGAAAAACACCATGTAAATACTAATCAGAAATATCCCAGATGTGGGAGTATAGCTCTGTGAAAAAGTCCATGAAAAGTGCAATTCCCAATATCCCTCAAATATAGAAAACAAACTCCAAAATGTAAAGAGTAGAAAGCGGGGAGGGGGAAAAGGAAAGAGGAAAAAGGGAAAAGGAAAAAGAAAACAGAAGGAGGGGTCCGGGGATTTAGCTCAGTGGTTCCAGTGCCTGCTTTGCAAGCACAAGGAACTGAGTTCAATCTCTGGGACCAAAAAACAAAACAAACAAACAAAAACAGAGAACAGAAGGAAAAAATGGAAACAAAGCTATTGTAAATAAGGCAGGGAAGAGTTGAAGGTAGGAAGGGGAAAGAGGAAAAAGAATGAAAATATATCATGTACAGGTCCAAATTCCATATGTGATCAATGTTATCATTATGTAGATCTAAAATGTACCAATAAAGTTAATTTTTAAAAATAGAAAATATATGCATAAGAAGTGCTGAAAAAAAAAGTAAAGGGGACAAGTTATTTGAAGAGTAAAAGAGTACTACATTTTGAAATGAAACAAACTTTGAAAGAAAAAATTTTTATAAATAAAGAGGGGAAGAAAGATTGAAGGGACGGGAAGAAGGTTTGAAAGAAAGGGAGGGGAATCAAAAAAAGAGGAATCAAGATATATTATGTATTTTTCTCCTCCCTCACAGCTGTGCCAGGGGACCTCACAGAGCGCAACCCCTCCTTCTGGCACCAGAGGAATGCTGCGGCAAAAGCAAGAGTTCGACATCCTCCTGACCAACACCTTCTACAAGGTTATTCACAATACCCACTCAAATCAAGCAAAGTTTATTCCTACTTTGAATGATGTAAAATGAAGACAGAGAGCTCCAAAGTAAAGAAGGTGAAACACAAGGAATTAGTGTTTTATGGGTTTCAGTACATTCTTTGCAAGTACTTAAAAGGTAGTAATGTTTTAACTGAAAAAAAATCCAGGAAGCCAAAGAGATATACAGAAAACATTTCCAGGACGATGTCTTTAAAAAGGGATGGAACTAGGGCAGGAATTTAGCTCAGTGGCACTACACCTGCCTGGCAAGTCCTGATTTTGATCCCTGGTACCAAAAAATAAATAAATAAATAAATAAAGATGTAACTACATTTTTGAGAAATACAATGGAAATTTCCTTATAGAAGTCAAGGCCAGTCCTGAAGGCTCTGTCATTACCAGAGGAACTGCTCTCTTCACCGTGGAAACACAGATCCAAAGTGCTATACTGGCTTACAAACTTGGATTGAGACTTAGTCTTCATTACAAGTTACACGAATTTGGCTACAGAGGAGTCTCTTGCCAAGAGATTGATACAGCAGCAGAAATTGCTCCATTTAAAAAATACTATGGCACAAAATATCCTGCTCCAGGTTATTCTGTTCCAGCAACAGTACACAGTATGATAAGAATTGGGAGAAAGACTATGAAAAAGATGCTTTTGAACATACAGTAATACTTTTCATCACTGCCTGTATCTATTATTGCAATAGCTATGACATTTATAATGTACTTAAAATAGAGGGTAAATATATTAAGACATTTAATACTGTCAAGAAGAACAGAGGTAGCACTTATAATCAAACCTGATGCTAGAAATACTCTTGATAATGTATTAATGGTTTTACATATTTTAGGTAAAAGGTGTCCTGTTACTGAGAACTCGAAGGCTACAAGGTGTTGCAAACTTATCTTAAGAGTCACTCAAGAAGATGGAGTAGACATTAATACCTTACAAGGGATTACAGAAGGCATGAAACAAAAAAAGAGGAGCATTACAAGTATTTCGTTTGAGGCTGGGGATTTAGCTCAGTGGTTCAACTGCCTGGTTAGCAAGCAGAGAGTCCCAAGTTTGATCCCTGGTAACAAAAAAACAAAAACAAAAACTCCTCTTGGTGACTAAAGGAGTGGCTGCCTGGAAACATTTATTCCTGTTTTTATTCAATAATGGGACCCCAGTCAGGCATGGTGGTGCATGTCGGTAAAACCAGCACTCAGGAGGCTGAGGCAGGAGGATTGCTGTGAGTTCGAGACCAGCCTGGACTACATAGTGAGTTCCAGGTCAGTCTCAAGTACATTGTGAGACCCTGTCTCAAAAAAAAAGGGCCGAGGATTTAGCTCACCAGTTCTGCCACCTGCCTTGTAAGCGCAAGGACCCGAATTTGATTCCCAGTACCAAAAAAAAAAAATGGACCCCAGTAATTTCCATAGCCTTATGAGAGACATACCCCAATAAATATTAATAACATATTATTGTAATATGTTTACACACTGGTTACCATCAAAAGGCTAAGTTTTCTGTGGGAAACAATAAGGTTTACTTTTTAAATGATGCTCTTGTTACAAAACTAAATTAGGAGACAAGGGTTTCCATATAGCTGTGACACCATTAGAAATTTTTTTTTTTAATTTTATGTGATGTATGTTATATACGTGTCACTTACACTTAGAGATGCTCAGGCACTGAGCAGTCCAGACAATGTCACGCACTTCTTTGATGACATCCCATTAAAGGATAACAAATGAGGTGAGAGCTTTGTTACGGTTGTGTCTAGATGTCCCCCAAAACTTCAAAAAAACCCTAAATGGAGCTTTTTCAAAGATGGGTACATCTAGAATGTGTGAGGCTAGAATTGATTTACAGAGCAATGCTAGGATCAAGGATACTAGTATTAAGAATGTGAGTACTATCCTCCCTAAGTAGCCTGGATAAGATATAAGGGATAGAAAGAACTGTGGACATTCCTTGTTACTTTGCGATCTTCTGCTCGCCATAAGCTGTTTCTCCTCTGTGATGCCCCTGTCACTCTGCCTTGAAGCCAACCAATTGTGAACTAAAATCTTACAAACTATAAGCCAAATAATTTTTTTTCTCTTTTAACTTGGGTGTCATGTATTTTGACTCAGCAATAAGAAAAAAGTAAGACAAGCTTCTTTGTGTACTAGACAGAGATGACAAGACTAAAAAGGCTATTCTAAACTACGATAGACATGTAAATGTGTTTCAAAGGTATCATGATCATAATCATGCTGAAATACTATGTGTGGATCTTGATCTCAAGTTTTCTCTGTAAAACATTTTAATTGTTGTCTGTTAACATTTGGAAGGGATTCAACTTCTTTTTTGTTGTTGTTTTGTTTTGTGGTACTGGGGATTGAACTTGGGCCCTTGTGAGGCAGGCAGCATGGATTCAACTTCTAAAATAACCATGACTGGTAAAAAATAACATTCTTCTGACTATATATTGCAAAATGCTTGATATTCAGATGAGATTATAATATTACGCTCACTGCTCGCTCTGCAATCCTGATGTAAACTGATCTTCTCTTGAGTGTTCAATAATCCAGAAGAGACCAGAACTGGAAAAGGTATCTGGGTTAAGAGGATAGCCAATATTTTGGCCCTCCAAGGTCAATAAGGACCCAGCACATGAGAGAACCTTTTCTGAAGGATCTTACAACTTTGATGAGTCACCCAACCTCCTGAGCAAGGAGACTGCTGGACCCCAGAGGAAAGGAATCAATAAATGTATAGTATTCCAAAAAAAGAGGGTCACCAAAGAGGGAAAAGTCTCCCTTGCTTTCTCAGAAAGCAATATACCAAGCAAGACCATGACCTATCCTGGTGGCTGACATGAACAGAGGAACTGAAAGGCTCTGTACATGGTTCCAAAAGTAATGCCCAAGGAGGCTTAACTGATCTTGATAGTAACATTAATTTTGATTAACACAGCTTTCACTTTAAATTGTTCTTAAATACCCAGCAGTAAAGTATAACAAGATGTATAAAAACAATATAACAGTAATAAAAACTAGACATAAAAAGGGGCTCCAATCACTGACCCCTTCTGGCAGTTTACAGATGACCAATGTTGTGGTTCAGTGAGGCTAAAAAACTACAATGAATCTATAAAAGCTCAGTAAGAACCTTTAAATTCCTTAGCTAAAACTGTCCTTAACCACCAAATTGTCCATCTTCTTATAGCTAAAACTATGGGGCAAAGGTTGGGGATTTAGCTCAGTGGCACTGAGACTGCCTGCAAAGCACAAGGTCCTGAGTTCAATCCCCAGTACCATTAAAACAACAACAAAAAAAAAACAAGCCGGGCGTGGTGATGCACGCCTGTGATCCCAGCACTCGGGAGGCTGAGGCAGGAGTATGGCTGTGAGTTCAAGACCAGCCTGGGCTACATAGTGAGTTCCAGGTCAGTCTCAATTACATAGTGAGACCCTGTCTCAAAAAAAAAAAAACAAACTATGGGACCAGGGATTTAGTTCAGTGGTTCCACTGCCTGCCTCGCAAGCAAAGGACCCAAGTTCATTCCCCGGTACCAAAAAAAACAAAAAACAAAAAACAAAAAAACATAAAGTAAAAAATAAAAAAAGATACAAAGCTAAAACTAGAGAGACTTATTACAAGACATATCAGACTTATGGACTAAGACCACTAGGACTAAAGACAAGACTAAGGCTATAAAGACGTATCAACCAAGGTATGATGTCATCCATACACCCTTGCTAATACTGGCCAAGTGGCTATACTTGTAATCTTACTGGTTGATTAGTTTTGACACACATGCTATCCGCCTTGTGATTTTGCTCTTTAAAACTTTCTCAGAGAAGTGGGCTCATTGGTAACCCTTTCAGAACCTCTCCCTGTCTCTCAGGACAGAACCCCTCCTATTCCCCAGTAAATTTTCCAACTCTTGCAAAAATAATAATAATAATAAAAGAAATGCATCAACATGTGCTCACTGATGAATAGGCCAAAGGATCTAAGTGTGTTCAATGTACTACTCCTTTACATTCCCACAGACTTTAAAAATTTTCAGAATAATGATCATTGTCTTATTTCTCCATTTTAAATTTGAAGTACATAAAAGTAAAATTTAATGAATAAGAATTATACTTACAGCTAACAGCTGACGTATAAGCATGTCTGAGGCTTTCTCAGAGATGTTTCCAACAAAAACTGTAGTAGTAGGACCACAATTTTCATCATTTTCTTTAGCCTTTAAACCTGGATGATCCTTTCTTGCTCCCAAATGCTTTCCAACCATGGACACAGTAGGTACCAAGACCTGAGTAAAGACAGACAAAATTTTACCTGATAATTTCCTGTGATATTTAATGTAATAAAGTTAAAGGCCATCAAGTGTAAGGCAGTAAAGATCAAGCTGTAAGGTGAATGTTTAAGTTTTTAAAATTTATTGTACTAAAAGACACATTGCTGTTATCACCTTCAAAATACTACCCCTCAGTTCAACCACACTTCTCCCATTGTTCCTATCACTTTCTGAAGCTTTGCTAGAAGACCTCTCTCATATCTTTATGAAATGTGATTTAAAACAAAACATTAATGATACTGCCAACTGGCATCCAATAGAGAGGTAGGCTTGTAAAAACATTACAGTATATCCTCCCCTACCTTACTCAATGGACCCACTGCTGTGTGACTTCTGGCTCTTCCATAAAGTCAATGGGACCATGAAAGGTAAAGGGTCTAAAAATTGATTTAAGACATTGAGGCCACAACAAGAGCACAACTAAAGAAAGCATGAAAGTATTTCCTGAACTGCTTTTAGAAAGTGGCAAAAATGATAGGCTAAGTGTATTCTAAGTGAAGGTGTATTTAGGGGGGGTAACAGTAATGTTTCTTTTATATCGTAAAAACTTAAACACCCACCATATTTTTAATCACATCTCATATAGCATATTATTAATGCCTCACGTTAAAGCTCTTAAAGCAAATGGCACATTTCAGGAATGCAAATTTTTTCAGACAAATAGGTTTCCACTATTAGATTACCTGTGGAAAAAACTTGAAAAATGTAATAATAACTAACAGTTCTTGGGGGAAAATTTTTAAATGTTTAAAATACCATAAACCATTTATAATTATCAAAAATATCTTAAATAAGAATCAAAATATATTATACAGGGTCAGGGATTTAGCTCAGTGGTTCCAGCACCTGCCTTGCAAGCACAAGGGCCCGACTTTAATCACTGGTGCCAAAAAAAAAAAAAAAAAAAAAAAAAAAAAAGATATATTATGTAAAGGTACAAATCTCCAATGATGATGAATGTCATTATATTGTATACCTAAAAGGTACCAATAAAATTAATTTTTTTAAAAAATCTTTAAAGTTTTTTTACAACTGTTTGTCTATATAAAGGAAATTCCAATTATCCCTGCTAATCCTCTAACAGAATATTCAAGTATCACATACCACCTTTTTCTATTTTGAAATAGGAGGAAGACTATGCATCATATGAATGCTTTCTAAAATTGTCTATGAATGTCCAATTCAAGAAAAGCTGTAATCCCTCTGGGCTGCAAACCAGTTTCTCAGTGGTCCACCTCACAAGAGATTCCAATTTGCCAATGTAGTGTTCCTCTCACTTATACTATGAATAACATTCCCATCCTTTTAAAAAATCCGTTTTAAAAAACAGCTGAAAGGACCCAAGTTCAATCCCCGGTACCAAAAAAAATTTTTTAAATTTAAAAAAACAGCTGAAAATAATCAAATTAACTCTCCCCTATAGCAGAGCTCCAAATGAAGTCTGATAAATATGTCAAAGAAAAATTCTAGCTAAACGTAAGAGGGTTAATATTTATTCATGTGTTACAGTGTATCAGCATTCATAATTAAGATGTTTGGAAGTTTTGATGAATGTGGAGAATTCAAGACACAAGAATGAACAAAGCAGTTATGTACAAAGCCTTGGGCTGGGGATTTAGCTCAGTGGTTCTGTTGCCTGCCTTGCAAGCACAAAGTCCAGAATTTGATCCCCAGTACCAAAAAAAAAGGAAAAATAGCTTGAAAATGGCTAAGCACTAGAGGTGGAAGGAGTAGAAAGCTACTCAACAGAATTACACTTCAAATTTTTATGAGAACCATTGCTACACTTCTTTTAAGAGATCATGCAAGAGCCAGGGATTTAGCTCAGTAGCACCCACATAGCAAGCACAAGATCCTGAGATCAATCCCCGGTACCAAGGGAAAAATAAGTAAATAAAAGAAATAAAAAGAGGAACCACAGCAAATTTCTTGATGAAAATTGAAATAAAAGTTTCCTTGTAAAAAAAATTAAAAGAAAAAAAATCATAAAACTACTTTGAAAGCATTATCTTAGCACAATTACATATATGCATAGCTGAATAAAAAAAATTAAATTAAGCAGGACCGTGGATTTAACTCAGTGGGACTTAGCTCAGTGGTGCTGCACCTGCCTCACAAGCATAAGGTCCTGAGTTCTATCCCCAGTACCACCCCGCCAAAAAAACCATTTAAATTGAGCAGTACAATATTTATGGATACTCCTTTTGCTAATGTTTTAAATACTTATCACAGATAACTTAACCTAAATACTTCTAAATAAGTTGTCCAAGTTTACAAAGTTTTTTAGCTTTAAAAGTACTTCTACTACCATAAGTCCCAATTCTTTCTTTAAATTATACTTACAGTCGGAGCAGGAGCCATAATGCTCATTGGTACAGGAATCATTGGGGTCCCTAGGAAAATAAAAAAAAGAAAATGTGGCAAAAGAACATTATCACACATCATCACACTATATTATATCAATTACATGGATTATAGGTATCCTAATAGTAAATATAAATAAAATATAGAATTAACCACTTAACAGTTTACTCCGAGTATCACTCAAGCACCACGTTTATGTATTGGCTATCCTCAGTATGGTTTGGGGAGGTGTCAATTCAATTAATTGATTCTTGCATTGAATAAATTTGATAAAATTGTCATTTTTGTATTTCCTGTTATCATAAAAATTAACCAAAAACATAGTTTTGTCATCCTTTATTTAAATAATTGCACTAGGGGATTTAGCTCAGTGGTTCCACCACCTGCCTCACAAGTGCAAGGTTTCAAATTCGATTCCCAGTACCCTCCTCCAAAAAAAGCTACAATTGTGGTTTAATCTTAAATAATTGCACTAATGAAAACGAGGTATGAATGAGTATTTTTCTTTAAAAAAAGGTTCTAACAGATCAGTCTTCATCAACTAAATAAACTATTCTGAAAAGAAAACGGCTGTTATAACATGCTTTTATTTAAGGAGTAAAAAGTTCCTAGAGTTCAGTTCATGTTCATCTAGTTCCCTGGTCCCTAAAGTGAGCACCTTTCACAAACACTTCTCTGGAAGACTGAAATACTGACTATGCCCAAAGAAGGGTGTAAGCAGTACAGGCTGTAAAGAGTTAACCCCACAATTGGCTTGTTTATAGAAGTAAATCCAGCTGAAGCCTACACGCCAAGGTCAGAGTAACTCCCACCCACATTCCATTCCTACAATTAAAACTTTCTGAACTAAAAGGACAATTTCTAATTACAATCATATATTTTGTCTATTCTGTTCCTAATTCAAGAATGATTTTATTGTCTTGTCTTTTAAAAGCCTCACCTATATTAATTTCCATAAAAACCACACAACTGTGCATTTTTTCATGTAGTCCTGCTCTTGCCTTTACCCCAGTTGATTACCAATAAAAATCGGTGTCTTGGACTGGCCAACACCTCTGTCAGTTACACTGGCATTGGTTATCCTAGTGCCCTGCTTTCTGTCTCTTTTAGTTTTTTTTTTTTTTCCCCTCAAGCTTGTGTGGTACACTTAACAGGAGGCCGGAACCTATTACAGAGGTTCCCAGGAATGTTTCAGGGGTTTTCAGTACATAACAATTATGGATGAACAATGGTGTCAATTCATCTTTTGAAATTAAAAACACACCCCTGGCCCTATGCTTCTTGATTGGGAAGTCGATACCATTTACATTGAGAGTTGTTACTGAAAATCATTGACTTTCGAATTATGAATGAGCCTTGCATCCTTGTAATAAATCCCACTTATTCGTGATGTAAAATTAGTTTGACAGACACTTGGGAATTGACTGGTTATTGTGTTGAGGGTTCTTGCATCTGTGTGTATGAGTTATACCTTTGTGATACCAGGGATCAAACTCGGGTGCTTGCGCTTGCAAGGCAGGCCATCAAACCAGTGAGCTAAATCCCCAGCCCGTTTTTTTGTTTTAGCTCAGTGGTTCAACTGCCTGCCTTGCAAGTGCAAGGAACCAAGTGTGAGCCCCAGTACCAAAAAATAATAATAATAATAACTTTGGTTTGGTATTAGAATAATTGTTAATTGATACCAGGGATCAAACTCGGGTGCTTGCGCTTGCAAGGCAGGCCATCAAACCAGTGAGCTAAATCCCCAGCCCGTTTTTTTGTTTTAGCTCAGTGGTTCAACTGCCTGCCTTGCAAGTGCAAGGAACCAAGTGTGAGCCCCAGTACCAAAAAATAATAATAATAATAACTTTGGTTTGGTATTAGAATAATTGTTAAAAAGTAAAAAAAAAAAAAAAGAAATTAAAAATAAAACAGAAAATAGTGATTTTTTTAAATGTAAAAACATATTGTACAGCCTTATAGTTGGACATGATGATGCATACCTATAATCCCAGCACTTATGGAGGCTAAAGCAGGAAAACTGAAAGTCTGAGACCAGCCTGAGCAATTTACTGAGACCCAGGCTCAAAAAAAAAAGGCAAGAGATATATATCAATGCAAAGATCTGATTCAATACCCAGTATATCAAAAATAAAAACAAAACACTCCATGTTATCAAACATGGTGACCACAGTTAACAATTTATTATAATCTTAAAAACTAATGGAAAACTCGTAAGTGTTTTCAATAAAAAAGGATAAACTAGGGGCCAGGGATTTAGATCAGTGGTGTACTGCCACCTGCCTCGCAAACTCAAGGACTGAGTTCAATCCCCAGTACCAAAAAATAAAGATATAAATTACTTCAATTTAGCCATTCTACAGTACATACAATTTCAAACCATTGACTTGATATATGTAATTTTGTTAAAAATGTAAAAACAAGCCTTTTTTAAATTAAAAACAAGCCAAGTGTGGTGGTACATGCCTGTAATCCCATCTCTTGAGAGACAGGCAATAAGACTGCCACGAGTTTGAGACCAGCCAGTGCTACATAGAGTTCAAGGGCAGCCTGAACTACATAGTAAGACCCTATTTCAAAAAACCAAAAAAAGGGCCAGGGATTTAGCTCAGTGGTTCTGCCATGTGCCTTGCAACACAAGGTCCTGAGTTCGATCACCAGTACCAAACAAATAAATAAATAAGCTATCAAAAAGAACTCAATTTAGAAATCTTGTTATTACTGGTTCTTCCACAGAAAATGAAAATCATGCCAGGCTTGGCTGTGCATGTCTTTAATCCTAGCTACCCAGAAGGATAAGGCAAAAGATCCAAACTCAAACCCAGCCTAGGCATTAGAAAGAACCTGTCTCAAAATAAAATTTGAGAAAAGGCTAGAGATCTAGCTAGTGATATAAGGTATATAGAAAGCCCTAGTTTCAATCCCCAGTACAATGGAATGGAATAGAATGGAATGGAAAGGAAAGGAACTCAAAGAAAGAGATCAGTTATCTCAGCCACTGTCAGAGGAAACTAATCTCTGAAGCAAGTATGTGCTACTCTGAGTAACTCACTGGGTGAGTTTAAGAGCTGTCAATTGGCTACCTAGTATTGACAACTTTGGGATATCTGTTTTCAACTACATTGCTGAACTTCACTTCAAATTTAGTATCAATTTGAAATAATTCTCCATCTAAAACTAGTAATAGTAATAGTAAATTCTCAAGCAACCACTCGGGACCTATTGTCTCTCACAAGCTATTCCTATTTCCCAATAAATTTCTCTACTCTTAAAAAAAGAAAAGAAAGAAATTCTTAAACATTAAACATTATCACTTTATTTTCTAAAAATTTACTTAAAACAAGTTCAGTATTCAAAACGACATTAAGTGTAAATCAAGATTCCTATAAATTGGCCCATATAGTAAATTGTGCAGGGGGAAAATGACTTTGGAATCAAATTTTGTTTTAGTCACTTTACTTATACAGCTTTGGGATAGCACGTTAACCACTGCTTCAGTCTCAATTCTATTAAGATAATCACATCCTCACACTGCCTGTGAAATTATGGCAATTTATATGAATCACTTGTGTACAATGGATATTCATAATTGTACCTAATTGATTTGTATCTCCAGGAATGTAGCTCATTGTTGTAGTGTCTGCCTGGCAAGTGCAGAGTACCTGAGTTCTATTTCCCATATTAAAAAAAAAAAAAAAAAAAAAAAAAACAAAAAGGGAGGG